TGTGCACCGTCGTCTGTCTAGCATTAGGGAGTGCTGCAGTTTATGAATTACTATTAAATGCACATTACAGCTAAGGCTAATGGGAAGTGAAATGTCGTTTGTTTTTCAGATATTTAGCCATTAAACCAAAGAGTGATGGATCAAACTTCATCACAATCCATCCAGTAGTAATCAACACGATTAGCTATAAGATAAAAACATGTCATCCATCAGAGTTGTTTAATCATTGTTGCTCTGCGAAAAGAGCTAATAATCCAAATGTTTGTTTGCTCCTCATTTGGCCCGTTTTCATCTGTACGAAATTTACAGTTAAGATTTATTACATGGCAAAAAATAATTAAAAAAGAACGCTTGTTACCATCAACTGATTTTGAGCCAATAGACTAGTTGTCCTAGTGTCATGAATGTAAAGGCTGCGTTACACATGACGCTGATAAACAGTAGCCGGTAGTCGGTAGCGAGCTGCTAAAAACCATAGAAGAAGAAGAAATAGGAAAGTTGTAGCTGTTCTTTCACTTTAGCTGCTTTTTTTCATGCTGGCTGAAGGTGAAGACAATGAAAGCAGCTCGTCAGTCTCAGGAGTTAAAGGATCCCTACATCAGACCCTTTTCTGAAAAGACGTTTACATTTATGCTCTTCTTTCAAAAGTCTTTCAAAAAAAATGAAAAACGTCCTCAAGTCAGCATAGAAACCTTTTTGAATTTTGCTTTTTCCAAATTTTTTGAATGCAGTACTTGAAAATGAGCGTAGCAAGATGTTTTGGACGCACGTTTTCATTTGGTTTATATGATGAAATATTTAGTTTTATTCTAAACAAAGCAATTTAAAAAATGTAAGTAGTTTAATATTGAAATCAAAAGTCTTTTTTTATTTTTTCATTTCAAGTTTAAAAAAAATACAACATGTTAAACTTTGTCAGGATAAAAATAATAAATTTCTTACTCATTTTTATCACAGTCAAAGTCCTAAACCCGACTGACGTACCTTCCAGGAGCCTTATTCACCTTTACGTAACTGCCACATGCTTAACCCCAGCCAGCCTCAACTGTAACTCAGCCTGAACTCTCACCATTAAAGCCCCAAAGTCAATGGTTAACCTTCTGGGGACTGACGCTCTGTCCACAGACGGCGCTTGAATCCCCGTGTGTGGCGCTGTGAATAGAGTTTTGTCTCCACAATGTGTGCATATGCACAAAAAAGGACAAGAACAAAATCACATTCTTTATGCCTTTTTAAACAGTCCCAGAGGCCTTGGAAACGTCAGCGCAGCCGAATCCAACACACATGCCCGCAAGCATATTTGTGCTCACAAACACACACACACACACACACACACACACACACACACACACATTCTTAGATTCTCCAACCAGCCAGTGAGGACTGGTTCTCTGCCAGATCGGGAATTGGCAAACTGGCAAATCTCAGATCATTTTAAGTCAGTTGGACAGAGGCGGCCTTAACGTTAAGATGCTTTTGGGAAGCCCGAGGCCTCCAGAACTATGGACCATAGCCAAGACTTATTCCCTTGCACTGTGTTATTCAGCGATGTGAGGAAGACGAGGTAGCACAGATGTTCAGATGGGACCAAGTGCAAACTCATGTCTGGTCTTCAGAGTGCAGGTTAAGTCTGAAGTCTTTTCAGTGCAAAGTTCAAGGCGAGTCTCCAGCTTCCTTTCTAGTTTGACTTCGACACGATGCTACAGACTGCAGTTGGATTGTGTTGCATTCAACTGTAGACGTATGCACTTTAAACTACAGTAGTCGCTCTCTATAAAACAAGTAGTAAAATCTTTGCATCCACAGTCAAACACAGAAACTATCAAGAGGATGCTTTAATGGAGGAAGTTCACGACCAGCAAAATGCTAGGAGGTCAAAAACATTAGCTGCAATATGTATGGCAATAATTAGCAGCAGCTGGAGGATTGAACTTTATTCTCTGCTTTAAGATTTATGCTATTGTTAAGCTTCTTACATCCCAGACAGTGACACAGCAATAAAATCTAATTTACAGCTCAGCACAACCGTCTGATAATCGACACAACTACAATCCAGAACATGGAGTGAATAACAGCATCATGTAGGACTAATAATGGAAGCCAGCCCGTTTCATAATCTCGCCTCGCACACATATATCACTCAGAAGACATGCCATTAAGACAGCTGAATAATATGCCAAAGCACTCCTTATGTAAGGTTAACAAACAAACCAGCACACCTGACAATAAAGAATGAACCCTTTTACTTCCTCAGCTATGCAGCTCAAGGTTGAGTCAGCGCTGTGACACCTGCGTTGATGTGTTTTCCAAGTGCACACAAAGTTGAATGTTGTTCAAGTTGGGGTCGTTTTTCACATTTTGCACAAAACACAGTTCTGCCACTTAGCTCAAGGTCTTTAAAGTCCTCTAATTAAAAGGCTTATAATGTAGTGTTCCTATACGCACTGCAGAGGCTCCTTGTTTTGTATTCACATACCTGTGGGTGACAGCTGCACACAGCTTAGTTTGATATTACCTTACTAATCTTTTTTTTTTTAAAGTCAAGTGCTGACTCAAATGTGGGTGCTCATATCCGCGAGACAAACCGAGACAGCCTTTTTGGAAATACGGTTGAGATACCAGCGCCTGCTCAGGGACTGGTTCTCCCAAAGGTCTGAATAAGTTCTGACTCTCCAGCCAGAAAATTCAGAGTCTGAGAAAGTGAATAAGTAAAGACCTCTTCATCATTAATATCTCAACATTGAGGTGCTCTGAAACAAGGCAAAAAAAAAAAGTCTCCCACACAAGCTGGGAAAGAAAAAAAACAACTTTATGAGCTGATCAGCGGCCAGCAGTAAAAGACAGAGGTTGTGCTGGGCAACTCCCAGGTGTGAGGGAACGAGGATGTGTAAATGTGAAGCAGGCTGCTGGTAGAAAAAGAGCAAACCTTCCCTGGAAAATGGGAAGTAAATCACTTCCAACACCTTCTCGGTGACATCAGATCTGTCAAAGCGAACAGGCGAGCAGTGTTTAGGAGTTGGCGAGGAAGCGGCGGACGGATCGGCTTTCTGTTATGTCACACGGCGGCGGAAAAGTGTTCAGATATAAACAAGGATGTCAAAAAGTCTGTAAACGATAGCGGTGACATGATTTTTCACTTTCTGGACTGAAGTGCGAGCTTTAGATTTGATCTCATTAACATTTGCAAGAGGCTATTACGTAATAATTTATTATATTTTGCTGCCAATCTTCTCCCACTTCCCAAAGGTTAATTAATTTTTTTCTGACTGCTTCCTCTTGCCATTTGTCCTCCCTCACCGGTTCCGTGCGAGCCGGGTGAGTCCTAATAGATGACGGGAGAAAGAAAAAAACAGCAGGAGAAAAGTTAATTTTTAAACATAGACTGCACAGCCTGGGGTAATGCAAGCAGTGGAGGTTAAACCATCGGAAGCAGCGGGGGTAACAGTCAGGAGACGAGGGTTAAACTGGCCTCCCTGCTGGAGAATCCCCACCAGCTCTGGGGCTTTATAGCCGACCTCTGACCTCTGCATCAGGGCAAACGGGGACCACGACAGGAAGAGGCAGCTTTTTAAAGAACATGAAGTAATTTAGTCATCACAGGCATTTAAACATCTTGAGAGATTAAGCGTTTGAGTCAGAACGGAGATGGCTGCGTACCGCCTCTTAATAGAGACCTCAAGTCAGCGATGATTCATATCATTCTTCCTTATTAGCTGTTGACTAACGAGCATCAACTATCACCATCTGTCAGCATGTGCGCTTCAGTCGATCAATTTGATCTTTTCAGTTATCTGAAAAAAACCTTTTATTGTAGGAGAAAGCATGCCAGCAGCTTCTAAAGGTGAAGTCTGCGTTTCACACCCTGAAATAACGTGTAAACAGATCATCTCTATGTGACCAAGTGCAACATCCATATATCGCAGGAGTTGCCATTTTTTTCCAGAAAGGGGAAATGTGTCACAACATGCTGTTATAAATGAACCAGTGTGTGTTCTCAGGAGATTCCCGACCTCTAAATCACATTCAGATGAAAAGGGAACATACGATGAAATCACTTTCTATTTGTTTCAGTAGAAAAGAAATGCAAAAATTACTACTAAAATTGTGACTCATACTGTAATTGGAATATCTATCAGAATAAAGGCAATAAAACTGAATTTGTTGGCACACACACAGGATGGACGGCTTGTAGACAGTGAGATATGACATATCTGAACTGTTAGAGAGATTGCCATGAGGTTTGCACAGACATTCATTCTCCCCAGAGGATGAAGCCTGATGACGATGGTGACCTTTTGACTTTTCATCTTGCGACACCAGACAGGACAAGGTTTTGACTCATCCAGTGAAACATCTCAGCGTCTACGTGACATCTACGTGACCGCAGACATCCATAGTATTCAGAGGGTTCATTCTTAAAACATTATTCATTGTGCACAGCGTCAACATCGAGTCAAAATTTCACTTTGTTGAATTTATTTACATCCAGATATGTTGAAATGCATCTCCATCAGCCTGAGCTGTACTTAGTAAAAACACATTTTAGCATGCTAACGAGCTAAATTAAAGCTAAACATGATAAATGAGCCTCTCAGAGCCGCTAACTTTCTGCAGACCTTTTGTTTTGTGTGTAAACCGAGCTTGCAGGTTTTCATCAGTATTGAACTTTACACTAGAATACAGTGAGAAACACACATTTCCAGTGTTTTCTAGCACTGCTGGAGATTTGTGGTAAAACTGTGTTGTTTGTTTATTAACATGCAACTTTTCCAGCCATCCGGTATCTCAGGCAGCCCAACAACTGACTGGAACTCAAAGAATTTACAAAGAAATTTATTAAGAATGAATCAAGCGTACATTTTGTTTCAAATTTAGAACTCATTTGTTTTGTTAATTTGTCAATGCAGCTTCTTTTTTTTTTTTTTAAATGTGGATCGACGCTTCTCAGACCGTGATTCGATCAAAAATGAACTTTTTCCCGTTTGTCTGTCTTGTCGCAGCGTTTCATCCAGTACCTGGCCTCCAGAAACACTCTGTTTAACCTGAACAACTTCCTGGATAAGGGAGCCCTGCAAGGTAAAGCACAGCAACACTCATTCACATTTTACTCTCTGCAAGTCCTGTGAAGATAATTCACAGCTTAATTTGTTTTCGAAGAACCAGATGGGATAGATTTGCCTCAAAGGACATTACACAGTGTACCAGAATGTGTTAGACAATCAAGCCCAAGTATTTAAAAGACTAAATAAATGCCAGAAGTCATTTGTAGCCCTCTCAGTATCGTTCCTTCCTCTGTTTTTCTCTCCCAGGTTACGACATGTCAACCTTCATCAGACGATACAGTCGCTACCTGAACGAGAAGGCCATGTCCTACAGACTGGTGGCTGTGGATTTCACCAAGATGAAGAGGGGGTAGGGCCGGTCACCAAATGTCACCTTTACTCATCGTTTCACACTTATCTTGTCACACATCAGGACACGGTGTTTATCTTTGGCAGCGCGGTGAGAGAACCGCGATAGACAGAACTGTTGGTTGTTCTACCTGCCAAAAGTTTCCTGTGCAGCTGGAAGATGGAACATGGTTGTGAAATACTGCAGTTTTAATTTTAGTCAGCTTGATGAGACTAACAAATGAACCACCACAGTGTTAAAAAAAACGATTTTAACTGCTTGCTGTAGTTCAGTTTTGAGGACTTGACGACTGTTAGTTTAGTGAAAAGACTTTTTTGTTCACATAAACAAAAAAATTATGAAAATCAGTGAGATTTAGAGGTGCTGATTTTAGGCTAAGCCAAGTGAGCTGCTTGCCCCTTATGCTAAGCTAAGCTAACTTTCAACTAGCTTTAGTTTTATGTATAGAAGTGGTATCATCTTCTGATGCAACTCCCAGCAATAAAGTAGATAAACCTATAATATATATATATATGAAACTACTCATTTGATAGCAGTGATTGTAAGAAGTGTATGACATTAAATTCCTGATATTTTAATGCAGAGATTCTCAAACTGGGAATCGGGACCCCCACAGGGGTCCCAAGATAATTTCAGGGCGTCACCAGATCATTGTGAAAAAAACAAATAAAGCCTACATTTATCAAATAAATGTGTATTAGGGCTGTTAAAATTAAAAGTATATACTTCTTCCCACTCCTTTTTTTGAACTTGTTAATATTATGACTTGATTATGCGATATTATTCTTTTTTGTTCGTTTTAAATTATTATTCTTTTGTTTTCAGATTTTTTTTCCCTTTCATTTGTTCAAAATGAATTCAATTCATTCATTCATTCATTCATTCAATTCATTCATTCATTCATTCATTCATTCAAAAGAAAATGAAGGTGTTCATGTAAAGAGATTAATCTGTTGAATTAACACATTAATTTTTACACATTAATGCATGAACAACAAAATTATGACTCATGATATATTAAGAATTTAAATTTGGGGCTCACGAATACAAACTTATCTCGGGGGTCGTTTCTCAAAAGGTTTGACAACCGCTGTTTTAATGCATCAGCTAATCATAACACAGCCTCGCCGGAGCCTTTGTTTGAGAGCCAAAGTGGGTTAAACCTTTCAGGAGGTCGTGCTTAGAAGATCATTTAAATTTCACAAAGTCCAGCTGTTGTGGACTGACACTGGATCCGTGTCACGCTGATCCTGCCGCTCAGACTCTCATTATTCATCAGAAGAATGTGTCTTCAGTCGCCATTTGTTGCGAGCGTTGCACCTCAAGAAGCTGTAAAGACTTTGCATTACTGAGGAAGCTTTAGTATGCAAATATTGGTTTACTTTGTCATATCGCACATGCTTCTGCATCATCTCTTCATTTGTTGTTTTTTTTTTTACCTAATTTGCATCAGAATTTGCATTTGTATTTCCCCCCAACGAGGTGCCCCGCTGTAATGGCGTGTGTCTGTTTGTTTCCTGCTTTGTCAGTATTGACGGCGTGATGCGCACCATGAACACAGAGAAGCTGATCAAGACGCTGCCCATCATTCAGAACCAGCTGGACGCTCTGCTGGATTTCCAGGTATGAAGTGTGTTAAATATATGTGCGCTTGTCAGAGCTGCGCTTGATTCACTTTCCAATCAAAATGTAAATTGAAACAACGGTTTGCAAAGTTTAAAACTCCTCTTTAGTGACTTAAGGAGCGTTCTATGGCCACAGGTTTCAGACGTCGGTGTGCGTTTGCAGGGAGGGGAGAGCTGGATTGGGTGGGGATTCGCTGAAATTGTGGGTGCATTGTGGTTTGTGCCAGCGAGCTTCAAAGAGCGATAAAAATGGATGGTGATGGAAGTTCCTCATTGGAATGCATAGTGAATGTGCTGGTTGAGAGTCAGCCTGTGTGTTTGTATTTTCCCACCTAGACCGGATAGACATTTGCTCGGTGTGCGGTGGTGTGTTCATGCCAGAGTGTGAGAGGTGTCGCTATTTGGGGGGAAAAAAGGTGTTTGGGTACATTTGAAAGAGATGCTTTGTTTCCATAAAAAGCTTTGCAGAGATGTGACAGAGACGTCTCATTTACCTTCTCCTCTCTCCTGTGCAGGCCAACCCTAATGAGCTGACCAACGGCGTGATCAACTCAGCCTTCATGCTGCTCTTCAAAGACTCCATAAGGCTGTTTGCTGCTTACAATGAAGGGGTCATCAACCTACTGGGTAACACATGTGAACACGCGTGCACTCACAGAGCGAACACAGTGAGCCGACTAATGCGCTCTCTGGTAGACGTGTCAGAAATGATCAGGTGTAAGTATAGCTACAGTTTGTTTTGCGTGTCCAAACATGCGCGTGCTCATGTCTGGCAGATATGAAAACACAACCCCGACAGCAGCAGCACGCACAGACACACATGTATGTGCACAGTGTGGTTGTCAGGGCAGCAGAGTAGGTTTTTGACAAGCTGTCATGTAGCTGCCAAGTGTTTCTGTTTGTCTCCACCCGATCGTGTTCTGATTTTTTTTTCTTCCCTGCCTTGTTTCTTCTTCCTTCCCTCCTTCCTTATCTCTTTTATTCACCTCTTCCTTCCTTTCCTTTTAAACCTTTATTTTCTCCCCCCCTCCCTCCCTCATCTACGCTCTCCTCTGTCTCCATAGAGAAATACTTCGACATGAAGAAGAACCAGTGTAAAGATGCTCTGGACATCTACAAGAAATTTCTTTACAGGATGACGAAACTGTCAGAGTTCCTGAAAGTGGCAGAGGTATATTCACACTCAGGAATACATACATGCACGCACACATCAGGAATATACATTATCTAGGGTGTGTTTTGTCAACTTTTGCTCTTAACTTTTGTATTTTTTGGAAGAGAAGCTGTTTTCTAATCACATATTTTTGTTTATATTTAACACAGTTATACCCAAACTGTACTTTAGAAAGTGTATTTTTTCCCACAGCGAGTTTCGCTCACGCAGCTACTGTACTATGTTCAGACAAGAGCACCCTAACTTACCCTCCCTGCCCCACATTTGCTGTACACACACATATATCCACCCAAAATAACCCTAAGATGGAGGATGTGGTTAGGCGCTCCGTTAGCTCCCTCTCCCTCCGCTCCCCACACTCCTCCGTCTAATCCTTTCTTCCCCCTCGCGCTTCCCTCTCCCCTTGACAAAGATGGATACTCATGTGGCTCTCGTTCGCCCAGTGCCCACAGATCATCCCTCTTTCTTTCTGTTTCGCTTGTGCCCTCTTCCTTCCCTCCCTCCATTGTTTCAGCAGACCTGAAACAGTGGGAAGCAGCTACTCTAACTTGAGCAGTGGAAGCTACACTGGTGGTTGCACTTTCCCCCGCATTAATGTACATAGAAATAAATGGCTCCAATCAGATTCCTTTGTCTTTTATAATTAGGTTTAAAGGAGCTCCCTGGACAATTAGGTGTTTTTGTTTGTTTTTACAAGGAGGGTGCTTAATTAAAAAACACAGATACAGTGAATAAATAATGATGTGTTCTGTTTTTGGACTGTTTTTTTTTTAAATGCTTACCTCTTAACTGTTTTCTAACCGTCAATGTCAGTAAATTCCTGGGAGAGGCTGTCTGATGAGACACTGAATACTTCAAAAAATCCACCTGAAAAGCGTTTAAATCATGCGCTGTAGGCACACGACATGTAATAAAGTCAGATCATATGTGATATATGCATAAACTGACTGAGTCCTCGATAGATTTTGCATCACGACTATTTGAATTCTGAAATGTTAAATGTAACGTGTGCGCCAATACAAGTACTTAAATGCAATTTAACCCTCTGAACCCCAAGAGATTCCTAGTTTTTCCTGCACCTCTATGGAAACAGAACAAGCATGGCTAGGAGGAGAGAGAACTCAGAAATGTGCAGAAAAGTGCCATAAAACTTAAACAATCTAAAAAAAAAACCTAAATTAGAATATCTTGGATTTTGTTTTTTTTTTTTAAAGTCACTAATAGTTTCATGGTTGCGCTGAGGTTTGCAGATTTTTTTTTTTACAGAATCTGTTTTTTGTTTTATATTTTTTATTTTTAAAAGAGACATGCAGCATAAAGTGGATTGTTGAGTTAATATGTCAATTTTAAGTACAAATTTGATTATTTTTTCTGTCAAAATGTCACAGACGAGTAGCTCGAGACCACCAGAGAGTTGAAAATCAGATTTTTTTTCTATAGCTCCTGTCTCTGAAGAACGGTATCATTTTGTAGATTTTTTGTCAAGGAAGCATGCCTTTTAAACTTGCTGGAAGCTTTTGGGGTTCTGAGGGTGAAGCAATAAAATTTTTAAAATAATTTTGAATTGTTCTACAAAGGAAACATAATAAAATAAAAACACAAAATGCTTTTTAAAAAAATAATAATACAAAGTAGCTTCTTATCAGATTACTTCAACCACCAAAATCATTGATAATTGCAACCTTAATGTTCAATTTTCTCAGAGCAACTACTAGTCAAGAACTAGAATAATAGTATTTTTTGATAAATCTGACAATTTCAATTCTCTGCTGATAAATCAGATGATAAAGTTTTATCTGACGACTGTTCAGATTTAGCCTCTAATGTTCTCTGTGTGTCCCGAGAAGTCAACGTGTTCACACAGATGTTTTCCGTCTCAGTTGTGAGTCTGTTGGAGCTGGTTTTGGTGCAGAGTAAGTGTCCTTTTATGAGTGTGTTCAGCGTTATCACGCCATCATTCATGCCTGCTCTCCCTCATCGGTCAGACATATTTATCACTGTGCAGTCATCATTGTCATTCACTGTGGGGATCGGTTGGATCACCAGCCAATCCAGATGTCGAAAACTTTTTCCTGTTTATTTCTGTTGTCGTTTATGTTGACACTGCCACTGCATGAAGTAATGATTCCCCTGTTTTTTTTTTTTTTCTTTTCTCATCTTTTTTTCCGAATGGACCCTGCCCTTCTTTTTATGTTTTCTTCTCCATTTTATCCCACCTACCTTTCTCCCTTTCTTTTTATTTTGTTGATTTGTTTGTTTTTGACGACAGCAAGTTGGAATAGATCAGGGTGACATCCCAGATCTCTCACAGGTCAGTGTACATCTCACTTTCCACCTCTCGTTTCTGATTCCAGCTCTTCCTCTTTTCTTGCCTTCTCTCTTTCCTTCTCACCTTTTTTCAAGCCTCTCCCCTTCAGCAGTACATGTGGTTTCTTTGCTCCCTCTGTGCTTTCATCCATCGACTCACACCTTGTTTCACCTCGGCTTAAAACCTCGTTCCCCCTCTTTCCAATTGTTCACTCCTTCCCACTCGTTTTTATTTCAACCATCTTGTCTAACCTGATCTTACTGTTCAAATCTAGGCAACTCCCCTCTGGTTTGATTGATTTTGCTTTCCTGCTTTCTCTTTTCCCCTCTAAATGCTCATTATAGATCCGACAACAGGCTGATATGTGTTAAGTCGGCCTGCTAAAACACTGCGCCATCAGCAGGCCTGATGCGTCACGTGGTTTTGAAAACCCTGAGCAAAGGCGAACAATAAGCTCAGACCTTGAATCTACAAAAATAAGAATAATTGCAACAACAAAGGGCTTGAAAAAAGACGGCAACAATACAAAGGAATGTACGACATGAGTTCTGTTTTTACTCGTCAAGGATAACGTTGCTTTTCTATCTAATTGTGAATTCGGTGGAATTGCTTGAAGCATGTTTTTTTATCCTCCTAATGGTGTATGGGTGGACCTCTGAGACACTGTAGATGTGTTGGGTTGGGCTCGCACACATGAAGTTACACATCAGGCTGAGAAATCTTGATAAACAGCTGTTTAAAATTCATCCTAATGCTGTCAACGACCTTTTTATTTGTTGATTAGTTTGAGTTAGCTTAGCATATTAAAAATAGAAGCCATGTCCTTGGATTCAGTGGACTCAAAATGTTCAAGAGCAGGACTGTTTTTATCCATTCATCTGTCCGTTGTTGGAATTAACCAATGTTAAGTAAGGCCCGAGGTGAAATGTCTTGTCATGTTTAGCAGGTAGATATGAAGTTTACGATAATTTAAAGCAGAACGAAGTCACAATTCCTCATATTTGAGAAGCTGGAGCAAAACATGTTTGACATTTTGCTTAAAACGTGACTCAGTTTATTCATTTATTATTAAAATAGCAACCAATCAGTTTTTTGCTTATTAAATAGATTTTTTCCCCCAACAGAAATGCCACAATTTGCATGTTCCAGCTTCTAGAAGGTGGTGAATCGCTGCTGATCTTTGGTCTGTGTCACTGTAAACTAAATATCTTGGAGTTTTTGACAAGTAATCTTACAAACTATGCAGTTTACTTACATCACCTTGAGGAAATTTGAATAAGTATTTGAAGCCCAGCTGGCAGCACGGGGCTTATCGTCACTCGGTTTGTTCACTGTTTTGGTTCACACTGAAATACCTCAACAATTCTTGGTTGAGTGGAATGAGGTTCACACATTCAGGGTCCCCAGAGGATGAGTTATAATCACTATGGTCTTGGCTTAGCTTTTTATGTGGCATCATCATCAGGCTAAAAATTTCGTGATGAATTATCTGTAAAACATTCCCAACAGTCTTCGCTGTACTTTGGATTTATTGCTAATTATCTAAAGTGGGAGCGTGCTAATGTGCTAAATGACGATGGTAACCAAACACTAGCATGCTTATGTTTGCATTTCTCCGAGACCAGCTGTGCAGCCTCACAGACCTGCTAGCATGGCTGTAGACTTTTTATCATAGAGTAATTCATCAAAATAATAAGTGGGTATGCAGCAATTGGATCTGCTATTGGCCCCAATACTTACTTATTCCATAATACATAGTAACATTATGGTACTAATCCAAGTTTAATGCAGCTTCTTTGTCAGTGGCATTGTCTGTGCTGTGCTTCAGGCGCAGCAGGCAGCCAACTCAATTCACTGCCAAGTAGAGTTCAGACACCAGTACCATGTATTGGCAGATACATTGACTTTATACTCAAGTTATTCAGTTATTGGAACCAGGAGGGAAAAATTTCAACTGCCACAATCCTGGCTGACAGTTTTAGCTATAATGAAATAATCATTAACTTCCGCTCTAATTAAATTGACATTTTTTTAAACTGCAGGTACTTAGTTGACAACTTTGGTGCATTTTTTATTTTTTTTGCCTCAAGAAAAAACATCCCCTGCACTCGGACACACCGCGGTAACGTTTTACAGCCTCTGTGGAACGTGACCTCGGTCACGCATCACTACAAAATCGTTAGACAGTAAAGCTGGAAGTTAGCGGCACGTGGATGGACTGTGTGGGTGTTGAACTCAGTCGAACTGCACACTTTGCTGTAGCCATTAAGTAGACGTTTTTCTTCTCCCCCTTCTGTCGCAGAAAACAAAAGGATCATACATTGTAGGTGGTGGGTTGCATACTGTACTGCTTACCCCCTCCAACCCGCTTAACCCCCTGCATGAATGTCCCACTTGCTGATAGTGTGTGTGTGTGTGTGTATGTGCAGCCATACACACTTGGAGTACACCCCGAGCACTCAAAGGCATGCTCTTCCTCTATTTCCCCCAGTATGGAGTGATCCGGTGTCGACTCAGTACAATATGTGTGCGTTGGCCTCAGGTGGCTTGCTTGTAGCTTTCAAACGCACACGGCAAACTGCACACACTGAGCTCTGGCACAACAAGCAAAAGGCCATGAAACCTCATGAATAGAAAATGAGGCTTCACCCCTCCGCCCCTCCGTCTTCATCTGCATGAAAGAATCTGTGCACCGGGTTTCGACTTGCTCATTTAAATTCCATCCTCCTACTTAGATGTTGTTTATTTCGTATTTGTCATGCACAACATCATTGCTTCAACATGCATGGCGGAGGTGCTTTAATAGTGAATGACCTGAGCGTTACTGTGTAATCATTGACAAAAAGGAAACATGAGAGAGGAGAAAAGGGGGATTCTCTCCTTTTTTTTTTTTTGCGATGTCTATTTTTTTCCCCCATGCCTTCCAAAGTTAGAAGTATCACCACAAAGTATGTCACGAGGAGGAAGGTGCGCTCACAGTCTGTCACAAAGGAAGACAGTCAAGAGACACCCTGCAGAGCGAGTGTGTCTGAGCTAATATTGACTGGGCATACACAAGGTCTTCTTTTCCCCCTATTCAAACCCAGTGACAGTTAAAGATGGTCTCTTTCTCTTCTGTGAGTTGCTGTTTCTTTAACAACCAGGCAACAGTTTGGCAAGAACCCACCGTCTAGCCAGCCGCGGACTCAGCAGCCAAAACGCCTCCCAAATGTGTGTGTGTGTGTGTGTGTGTGTGTGTGTGTTGTGTGTGTGTGTTTGCATACATGTCTGCAGCCCTCCTGACAGCACACTTTGCATTCTTGTGGATGGAGAGGCAGACATGACGTTGTCATATTTTCACAGTGGAAGAATTTCCCCTCCTCTCTCCTCAGCTGAAAGAGAAAAGGTCTTTTTTTTCTCCTGCATGTTAAGTTGTAGATGTGCACAAGAGAACGACTGATTGTACACTTAATAATGCAGCTGTCTGGCTCACTTTTGCCCTCTTGTTTCCTGTGGTCTTTTGAGCAGTAATGAGGCACCTAACGAGCGCAGAAGACATAGTGTTGTATAATGTGAACAATTGGAGCTGAACTTGAATCTGCAGCTGAACTGTGTTATCTGAAGTAGCATAGCAACAATCCCCAAGTAACCTGCTCGCTAACTTGTACTCCAGAATAGTTGAGCTCATATTTAGTGCTGCTGCCTCGTGTCGTCTTGCAACGAAGAGCTTTTGAAAGACTCTTTAGCCTCAGTTGTTTTTATGGGCAAGTAATTAGGAAAAGGATAAAAGATAAGGAGTATAATCTCAATCCCCACGTGTAGTGAATGCAGAGAGATTTAGTAAAACCACAGCAGACACGCTGACGAGTCAGCGGTAACGAGGGGGTCCCATTGTGCAAGTATGTCAGCACCTCACAGCGTGGGGGAGACAATGCACGATAAGCAAGACAAAGAGGGGAACATAGGAAGGGGACGAAACGGCACAGAAATGATCGGCCTCTGCTCATGTGAAGTCAGGAGACGAAGGCGCAACCTCTCCACCTTTTTCCTCACTCTTTGTTTTTCAGCCTCCTCCTTTGTTCTCTCTCTCCTTTGAGTCTCCTGCTAACAGTGCGAGTGTTTGCTGCATGTTGCCATGGCTATTCTTGGAGCCTGATGCACTCTGTTACCTTCCTGTGAGACCAACTAACTCTGGGTGCTGTGCTTGTGTGTGTCTGCGTGTCTGCGTGTGTGTGTGTGTTACTGTATGTGTAGGCGGGGTTTTGTGCATATGAGAGAAACAGAAAAAGAGAATGATCTTCTGAAAGTTGAGCGAAGTACTGACTTCCTTTATCCTTTCTGGTGCTCGTTTCTCTCTCAGGCCCCCAGCAGCCTCCTGGAGGCCTTGGAGCAGCACCTGGCCTCTCTGGAGGGCAAGAAGACCAAGGAATTGAATGCAGACACCAGGTAGACATCTTAATTGCCTGCCAGTTGCATCAGTTTTTTTTTTTTGGAATCGTATACATTTAAAACACAGTTCAAACCCCTTTAAAAAAAACTCTCAAATGTTGTATTTCAAAGGAGATTTCAGAGTCTAGAAAACATTGCAGTTCTTCCTCAAGTTTACTCCTCCAAAGACGCTGAACATCTGCTCTATTTCCTCCCCTTATCTCCTGCGCTGCAGAGCATCAACCCTGTCGAGCGCCGTCTCATCTCTCTCCTCCACCGGCATGTCCTTCAGCCGCATGGATGAGAAGGAGAAGCAGCAAGCCTTGGAGGAGGAGCAGGCCCGATTGCAGGCTCTTAAGGTAACAGATTTTACACATTTAGGCCAAATCACTTGTGAATCAGAGGGTCAGAGCTGCAGCAGCAGAAAGGCCAGCGGCAGCAGGTCAGGTAGTTACTGCTGTCACCTTTTACAAGTGACTTTTCAAGTGACATCAATTGAGGCAATTTATCAGATTTCCTGCAGCTCCCTCTGGAGACACAGAAAGCTCTATACAAGCAGGAATGGCTGAGACACGGCGTGGACGTGAGCCATCTTCACCAGGTCCCAGCAGCCACGGAAGCAGATTGCGGAGATTTGATAATAGGTGTATAATATATTTACAGGTCCGAGGAGTTGGATTTAGCTTCGGGGTGGACAACCACCAAAATAACAAACAGATCTTTCAAAAGAAAAGAAGCAAGATAGCCAAACAAAATCAGCAAACCAAAATACAATGCCTGGTGTCTAACAAACAAGGCCAAAAGAAACGACTGTCCGTCCATACAAACGATTAATAAAAGCATCCGTATGGCCAAAGTGTGGCTGGTTGGGAGGAGAAGGAGACGAGGGATTCTCTGCAGCAACATCTTGGCTCCGTTTGCTGTGGGCTGTCATCGGCCCGGAGCTAGTCATCTGCAGGCCGGCAGCTGATCCCCCAATCGTCGTCTTGTACCTGTTCACTCCAGTTAGCGTGCACACGCGCATTAACACCTGGCGCTTGTCATTCAGACGTTCCATCACACAACAGAATCGGTCCTAACGAACAGTCGTAACGCTGCTAGACCTGTTAACAGATAGAATCTCCAGATGTAGGCCGCATCTTAGTCTCTGGTGTGAATGGGAGCTTTAACACCAAATCCAATGTAGAAGATAACAAAAAAGATCAGTTGTGTTGTTTGTTTATCCTCATCCTTATTAGGCAAAAGGGATTCATTTTAAAGTGGTTTATGACGACTTCCATGTTGGTTGTTAGTACATTAATTTATTTCTTGTCATTTCAGTGTAGCTTAGCAATTTGTCATACATGATGTTGGCCATTTAAGGCACTGGATACACGAACTCACATATGCTAAAGTTGACATGAAAGCTCTTTACCAGCTCTTTTTATAACTGAACCCACTTGTAAGGAAGAGCGTCGGTGTCGAGCATGAAGTGAAAGTAAGATATGGCAGATTTTATTAGATACGGTAAGGGGAGAAGTTTGTGCATGCAGGGATTTGATCCTCAGAGCTGAAGAGTCGAATCACAAAAATCAGCTCAAATGACAAGTGTAACTGCAGTCGTCGGCCCAGATTTAAGGCCGTGCTGTGACTGTGCCGGCAGAGAGAGAATGAACTGTAAATCCGCTGGAGCCCTCACGAATGACACATTCTCTTAATGCAAAAATATATGGTGCTCCGCTTTGCTTTGCTGTGGGAATCGCACCGTGTTGTTGCTGATGGATTGTCCAGTAGCGTTGCCGGTCGGTGCGTTCTGAGCTCCAGTCTAGGATAAAGGCCAGGAGTCTCAGTGGCGAGCCGAGCAATAGAAAAGTCAAGTGTAAAATGTGTTGACATTTCTTGCTCCAGCCCTGGGAGTCCTGCCTTACAGCAAACTGTAATTGAGTAAGAGCAGCGGAGCTACAGCACAAACACACAGCAGCTCGGCGTGTGTGTGTGTGTGTGTGTGTGTGTGCGCGGGCGTGTGTGCATGTTAAGCATGCTTACATCCTGGCAGAATAGATACAGTATGTGTCTAGCAATGGTGTTGCCAGTATCTCTGTGAGCTTTGTGGAGCTTTGTGTGTATATGAAGCATGTGTATATCCTGGCAGATTAGTCGCAGTATGTGTTGCCAGTGTGTCTTGGTGTTTTTGTTTGTGTGCGCGTTTGATTGGATTTTAGTGCGCTGTTTACTCTGTGCCCTTGGTTGCCCTGTTTCTGCCAAGGTCCACTGATTACCTTTGGGTTTAGTTAGAAAGGAGAGGGAAGATAAAGTGAGAGTGAGAACATAACAGAGTAAGAAGGAGAGTGAGAGAGCCGGGGTTAGCAGGGGTCGTCCAAATACTCCAGTCCAGCTGTCTGCGCTCTCTGGTGTCCATATGGGCTCAACACACACATACACACACATACAAAAACACTTACACACTCCGCTACTGTCCAGCTGGGGCCTTAGCCCAAACAATAACAGCAGTTCCCATTTGTTCCTCGCTACGCTGTCAGAATAAAAATGAAGAGGACTCGGCCCGGCTGAGGCTGGTACAGCAGGAGCTTCTGTTTATTAATCCGCTCAAAGTCAGAAATCCTTTACAGGTGGAGGAGGTTGTAAAGCGAATTGGAACATTTCCATACCTTAAGGTTTGAGTTGTGAACGGAATTAAAACACCTGGGTGGTCATGTGTGAATAACGCAGTCAAAGACACTGTGAGAAGCTGCGTTTCCATTCCCTCGGCGGCCGCGCAGGGTAATAATTTGCACTGTTGTTGTACAGTAAATTGCTTCACTCGTATACAAAACAGAGCGTGTTGTGAAAGGGGGTTTGAACAAAAACGTTTTCCCACAGAATATTCCCGCGTGAGAAGACACAAATTTATTGATCCCTGTGGAGAAATTAGGTCATTGCTGCAGCAAGTAATAAGATCTATCGGGAAATATAGGCAGATGGAGTGTGAGCACACAGAACGAGCAATAAAACAACAAGAATGATCGAAACAATCAGTAAAGCAAAAAAATAAAAGCAGTGTGCTCGCTCAGGGGATGATATAAATACAGTGCCACCAGGTTCTTCCCACTCTACAAACCGCATACAGAAACAGTATGGATTCCTCCACTCGCTGTAATGCATTTTGAATTGTACAACTTGTCATAGAGAGTCATCTGAAGCCACAGAGAAATAAGAAGTTGCTGACAGTCCGATGTCCCTGCTGTTACCAGCATGCGTCAAACTGACCCCCAAGCAAAACATTCAAATTCATGCAAGAAATGAAAGTCTGGAGGAGGTGGGGAAATTTGTACAACTGCAAATGTGTGGGGACACCTTCAAAGCGCTTTAGTGACGATCTTGGATCAGCAAGTAATACAACCTCTGGTGTTTTCGCTGTGTTCTCCAGGTGGGTTTCTTACCTGAGAGCCTTTAACGTCTTTGGTTTAGCCGGTAGCCGTCATGCAAACGTCAGCAGTCTTGTTCCACCGTTTGAGCGAATTGAAAGCGATTTGCTGCTGCAGTCACATCGGGGTTCATGTGTATTGAGTTCATCGCCTTGAATCAGCTAAAATGAATGTAAAAATCAGAATCTATTGCTGTTCTGTGTTTGACTGTATTCCCGTTTAGCCGCTGCACTTTGCTGATGTTTGTGTATCTGTCACAGAGAGAACAATAGTCGGCATTTCAGCAGCACCTGGGTCTCAGCAGGACAGGGTCAAATACTGTTTGAGGTGTGCTGGAGTTTTCAGCATCACAACAAAAATTCCCTGGAAGCCATTCTAATTAGTTTTAAAGTACTTTAAACTAATAGTCTATAATTTTATTGTTGCGCATGCTGAATCCCACACCACCAGGCAACCTTGGCAGGCAAATCCAAGCTATAAACTGACTTTGGAAATTTAGTTGGGTGCAGGCCTGGCTTTGAGTCCTACATCTAAAGCCAGTAACTAGCTGAATATCACCAAAGCACACATATGTAACTTTCTCCTTTATAGCTGTTCACTCGTCGTGACTGGGCATTGTGCATTTTTTGATGCAAGTTTCCTGACAAGAGTCTCCCCACAACGTGACTCAAAGGGGCTCTTAACATAAAGTTACAGGGCAGCTGAGGTTTTGGGTGTTGTTTTCTTCCGTGTGAGTGTTAAGTTGTCTTTTTTCCCACCTTGAAGCGTACATATTCGCAATGTGTCAGTTTCCAGGACTTGAACATCCTGAAAACAAAACTCTTATTCATTGCAGTGGGAAACAGCAGTTTTTCCATCGTCTTCCTGATCACTTTGTGCTGTTTTTCTCACTCTGCTTGTGTGTGTCTTCCAGGACCAGCGCCTGAAGGAGATCAGCATGCAGACTCCACCCTCTGCCTCCCCCAGCAGTCAGTCGATAGGCAGCGCCAACAACAACCACATCACACAAACCCCGGAGTTGTTCAGCTCCACGCTGTCTGCCAACAGGTGCACACACACAAACACACCGACAAATATTCAGCTGCTCGTACAGTAAGACATCCACCGTGTTAAATAGTTAGTCAGCTAAAAGTCCTTTTCTAATGTGCTACTGGTAAGAAAGCGTGACCCTGATTTGTTTTAAGGTATGGAGGAATGAGCACAGATAGAAATATGACGGAAGAACAACTGTTTTAATGAAGGAGTCCATCAGGGGTTTGCCTTTTCCCATCATCTCATGCAATTTAGATCTGACTTCAGGCAGTGCGTGGTGCAAGTAGATTTCCTCACAACAGCTGCACACAGTGAAACGGGCTCCTTGCTGAGGTGTGCAGCGTGTTGCCAGCATCAAGAAACAGTCTTGGTTGACTGAAATCATATCGACCAATCAAGTGTCCGTGGAGGGAAAAGATCTGCACACTGTCTTTGCATTAATTGAATTGATCGCAGTGCAATGAGTGGACTCCACCTGCTAGCCTTATGAAAGGAATAATGAACAAACATTAAAAGCTAATATTTGCAGCTAGGGATGTCCCAGTCAAATTATTTTTTTTGCCCCTGATTTATTTAGTATACCGATACCGATCCTATACTATTTTCTTAGGAGAGTGTAGTAGATCAGCTGTAGTACCTGGTTGCGCCTCCAGGAGGAGCCTCTCACTGTTGCAGCCAGAGGAGGCGGTCACTCGGACAAACAGAGAGCATTCTGGGAGTGTAGCTGGTCAGTTTGAAACATGTCGGCGTTCGTTATTTTATACTAAACAATAACAGACTTGCAGCAGATCAGCGTGTACCGGCCCAGGTTCATGTGAATTCGGAGATCGCAGCACAAGAACGTAGACAAGTTAGCTTAATGTTTTTACAAAGTTTAACAAGGGATACGCTGGACTGTTTGGCCATCTGTTTGAACAAATGCAAAGTAACACCAGTGATTATCAGAACAATACTGCAGCCCTACTGTAATACAGTGTTTACACAGAAATGGCTTTAGTTGTGTTTTTAAGCTTGTCCGTCTCCCGTGTGCTCGACAGAACAGATACGGTTCTATTTTAATCAATTCTGCAGTCGAGTCTCGTGCTGTTTTACTCACTATAAGCACGTAAACACAAACCAAAGCATATTTTCACGCCTGAAGTTCATTTTCTGGTGTTTAGACGAGTAACTACAGTGATAGTGTTCCCAAAGCGTTCATGACCTACAGCTGAATACTGTGCCTGAATGCACCAAAGCTGCTGCTTCATTAATGCGCTGCTCTAACGAGTCCTTCTGTGTCGACACAGTGCGACTGTTCATCTGCTGCCTGACTGTGGCTGCTCATTCATGTGCCGTTACCCCATTATTGTGATACGTAAAACTGATCTACAGCTCAAGATCTGCGTTGTTTTGTGGATGCATTTTCACAATCAGGTGTTTGATGAGACTTTTTTTAACCATAAAGTGCCATCTGTTGCTGGAGATAGTTCTTTGTAAGTCTGGCTGTTAATATTATGAATGTATTTGTGATTAAACAGGGGCTGTCTGATAGTGAGGGACAAGAATAAAAATATTTAAAGTGGTTAAAACTATTGAATGGGTCTGTATGAGCTTGAAAAAAGATTAAGTATTTTGTTCTTATCTAAAATTAGCAACGAGTTTGATCTTCAAATCAGACTCAAACAGTTAAAATATGCTAAAAGCAAAATAAACTTGCTTTTATAGTTTAACTAGCTCTTCATTGCAAAGAGTTGAAAACCGCCCTCAGTCTGCCCACAGAAATCCAAAAATAGATGTGTATGTAAAGTCTGTGTGCATTTTAATACTCTGTAGCCTGTTTCAGATTTCTTCCCAAAAAATACAAATCCCTTGTATCGCATCTGTGACAGACTCCAGCTGTAACAGAATTAAAGTAAGACTATTTATTCCCGATACTCGAACAGAATTTAAACTCAACGTGCGCAGACTGTAACGCGCTCTGAATTTACTGCTCCTAACTGTTTTATTGCTCTGTGGAAGTTTTTACAGCCCTTCAGAGAGAGAGGATTAATCTTTATCTGTGACAAACGAACATTTTTACTGGTGGCTTTAGCTATTTATGCTCCATTGATTAAATATTAATGCTCCGTCTCCATCTGTCTTTCCATATCTCTCTTTTCTTTTTCTCCTCATCTCTTGCTAACTTATTTGCTTGATTTATTTTCCCTTTTCTTCCCCGCACTGCTTTCATCTCTCCCCTCACTCCTGTCTCTCTCTCTTTGTCCTTCCTCTACTCCGGTGATTCCCTCCTTCCATGCCACTCTTTCCCTTCTTTAACTCCTCAGTGTGCCCAATCTGAACAGTGACCTGTTTGATCTTCAGCCGGCCTTCATCCCTGCTGTGCAGAGCACTCCTTCCATCTCCACCGTCAACAGTGCCTGGGGAGGTACGTTACCTGCACACACACACACACACACACACACATATATGTAGGGCAGCCTGCACAAAAACACACATTTACACATATATGAAGGCACCGGCAAGGACGCACACATGCAAATAAGTCGGACACCTACCGACACGCACTCGCAGATGTTCACAAGTGAATGTATTTCTGAAACATTCCCTCTGGCCAGCCATTCTCCTGTCTGCCCATCCATCTGTCCAACCATCCATTTCACTTTTTATGAAATCCATCCATCCACCCACCATCTCTCTCCCCTTCTCTACAGAAACTAATGTTGCATGACCCAGCCAGTGTCTTGTGTTGAGACACAATAAAACAAGTTTCGGGTGCAGGTGTTTTCCTTGTAAAAACACGGAGTATTTTGTGATGATAAATCCTGTAACTGTGGCTTCACACTCCGAGCAGCTCAATAAACCAGTCAGAGGAAATGTCAGCCGAGATTCAACCGGCCTCTCCTCGTTTTCTTGTTTGTCAGTGTGGAAAATGTGGCCGCGGCTGAAATGCTGAGCACCGACTTCCTCTTCCACATATTAGCTTTTCTGTACAGTACACCCTGCATTTTTCTGGAAAACAGGGTTGACATTTCAGCTCGCAATCAGCTGTCTCAAATCAAAATGCAGCACAAAGATGCATCTGGAGGCTCTGTTAGTACGGAGTATTAAGGGCTTTATGACAGAGGATTATATTGAAGCCATTTATAAAGAGTTTGGCCGGATTTCACATTCAGAGCTACTTCTTAGCTTAGATATCAGCCCTTCACATTATCAGCCAGTCTGACACGGGAGTTGAGATAAGTATCCCCTGTACTTTCCCCAAAAATAATACAGAGCATTCTTGCTTCTTTAAGCTTCCAAGATTGTAAAAGATGCTGGTCAAGTTTGTAGTCAGGCTGTAGACAGGAGACATGTTTTGGTCTCTGGTGAAGCTGTTCAATTAATGCAAGGCTGCATGTTAATTATTGAGTTTTAAAGGTGCCAATCACCAACAAACTGTGTCTCTAGTGGTCCATCTCCTGGCTGTAGCTTCACATTTAGCCAACAAACATGACGGTGGTATCAAGCTCGTCATCTAATTCTCAGCAAGAGGCATATTTCCCAAAAACTCTTCCTTTGAATAAGTCTAGTCAAGGCTGCTGTTTACTAGGGCTGAACAGTTAATTGATTGAAACAAACTGCAGGAACTTGTGAGTTGTTTTAGCACAGCTCGAACCTCAGAGTGTGTTCTGACTGCAGGTGACGAGGCCGTTCCTGTAAAGGTTTGCGCCACCTTAAGCCTGCTCCAAGTTCTTGCAGTGGAAAGGCCACCTAAGAAAATGTGCAAATCACAAAGTCTGCAATTTAGGTTATGCAGGGCATTTGACTTAGGATTTAAACTGCTGTGTCAGTGGTTTTACAAATTCATGCCATCGTCCATGTGTGACAGTCACACTGTTGATGGTATCTTGTGCTGAGAGTGGAGTGTAAAGATGTTCGCTTTCATGTCACACCTCAACATTTACTCCACACATATCGCTCACCGCTCGCTCCACTTAAAGAAGAATAAGTTGCACATGCGCTGTATTTTCATCTTAGCTCTAACTTTAACTAGCACAAATGAAAGGGAAATTGGAGCAGCACAGAGTGGGATATAATGTGACTGCTGTGGTGCACCGTCACAACTTTTCAATCTGCTACACCGTGAATGTTGAACTGAAGCATGACTTTAAGAAGTTATATCCCAAATCAAATCACAATATCTGCTAGAAAAATCCCAATCAGACATTTCTCCCAATTGTTCAGCCCTACTAATTGTGCCAAGACAGAATTGCAAACTATTAGTAACCAGAAAGATGCTATCTGTCCGAGTCACGTAGGAAAACAGTTCAACTATATTGTGATGCACCTTTTTCTAGTCGCCCTCTGATGGTTTTGTCCCCGTCACGTTTCCTGAAAGGCTACTCCGATCAGCAGTATCATGCCTATTAATAATTATTGTGGTGTTTTATGGTGATTTTTTTTTTTTAATGCATTCATATTTTGTGGATCCCACAAAGGAAACCACTCTCCGAGGCTTCAAGCTCTAATCCCCAAAAGGGATGCGGATGAAGACAAAAAAACAAAAGGTGCATCAGTGGATTTCCTCGTGCATGGGCTTAACTCTCCTCTGAAAGGCTGACATTCCCAACAGCCTGCACAGAATCCCAAGTTACTAAGCAACAACAATGGCAGTGCACAGAGGACTGTAATGTCCATGTTCCTAATCTAATGGGATTAGTTTAGCAGGAGGTGGTGGAATCCTTACTCGAGCAAAGCCACCACTTTGGTTCCTACAAAAATCAGTCTGATGTACATATCTGCAGCTGTTTCCCTTGTAAAAGTATGTCAGATAAAGCTGTTCCAAGTGCTATCTCATGCAGCTTAAATAGCACAACCAGGACCTTAATCAGTCATATTTAACTGCATTCCTCAGGACTGGAGAGCCAGCCTCTGCAGCAGACCGCCTCAGCCATGACTGTAGATTTCGATGCTGTGTTTGGGAATAAGGCCACACCCAGTAACAACGGCCCACAACCTGCAGCCGGTAAAGCCCTCTCTGTCTGACTGTCCAGACAGACTGAAAACTAAAACCTTTTGGCTTTGCTGGCAGCGCAAGCGTAGCATTTAACTAACCCTCTGACTAGTTCCAGCAGCTTGTGGTTGTTCCTGCATCTGGATGGGCGTTTTGTAGCTTTCTAGCTCTGTCACACAGCCTGTTGTTTGACTCTTTGTAATCACATTTACCCAAAGGCTACGAGAACAGTGCAAAACCCAGAGATGGGAGATCAGTTGACTTCAGATTCAGAAGTTTTTTCAAGCAAGTTTTGGTAAATATTTAAAGTCCCTGAAAACCTGGTTTCAAGTCTTCTAATCCAAATAATCTGAAAGAATTTTTGTTCGATGAGACTTCAGTGACGGCAAAACCTCAAGTGTCATCACTTTACATTTCAGATCTCATTTAGTTTTGCTCGCTGATGATTGGAGCACAGAAATCAGCAGCACATTTTTCCCTGCACAGATAAATGAGAAACTGTTTTCAGGGCCTTCGTGTTAATCCTTTTGCTCGAATCTGAAGCTAACTGATCCCAGGCCTGCTTTGCCTTGAATCTGTCTTTTCTTCCAGTCAGCAAGATCACTAACCTATAGAAAATGATTGAGCTCTCAGGTGAAATCTGTATAGATGTGGTGGTGTTTCTCCTGTTTCCTTTAACAGTTGTCAGTCTTGTTAATTGCAAAATGATTCTGAAAAGGGAGAGGGACAGTTGGCAGTTGAAGCAAACGTTCGGCTTATTATGTAATAGCAGACGTAAATCTTTAAATCCAGTGTAAAAAAACAAAACAAAGCAGAGGAGACGATGTGTAGGCACCTATTCTCCAGCCGCCTGCTCCTCTCTTGTTGTGGTTTCTCGCCTGTTATGGTAACAGCTTCAGACTGATGGCTCTTAAGTGTTGCAGGTCTGAGACTTTGGCTCCGAGCCCTCTTATTAGCTTACTTTCTTTTAACCTCTCAGCAACTGACACAATCAATCTCGGCGCTTCTCAACCCTTTCGGGTCCCGAGATGCTCCTGCAAAGCGTATAATTTTAAGGCACGCCGTGTTATCGACTGCACCGAAGAAGGCGCAGCAGATAAGAGTGACTGCCTGCAGAGGTCATCTAAAGACTATTTTCATCATAAAGGGAGACAGAAGTTCAGAAAGAGGTGTAGGTTTAAACTTCAGACACAAGTTACCGTGTGGGACTTTGACTTCAGGCTTCAATGGAGGTCTTTGTTGAATAATGGCATCATGTTAAGCCACAGTTTCTTTATTTCACACGGTTGGACGCTCTTTGCTTTTATGCTTTCATGCAAATTAATTTTATAGCGCTTTCAACAGTAACAACCAAGTTAGGTCTCCCTGCAGCAGCTATTTTAGGTGCAAACTTATTTTCCTGTTGTTCCTGCAGTTGAGCTTCTTCCTGCTCATCAATCAGCATCAGTGGATATTTGCCAGGATTAATCAAGCAGCTGTTTCAGACCAGCAGTCGCTGCACACGCCGCTCACACTTATTAGGATGACTTGATCAAAACAGAATCATCCGACGGAGATAGATCGCTAATGTGGAGGAAAGTCTATCCTAAAATCTTCCAAATTAAATCTGAAGGTAATTTTCTGGCAGAAAACGTGGTCGCCTTTGTCACATTATTATCATCATCAGGAGAATTAGTTGTGTTTGCACAGCTGCAGCTTGGCTTCTGCAAACATTTGCCAGTGTAGCGCTGTTTCCTTTTTGTATTCCGAAAGGCCTGCGCGGTGATTGAGTTCAGGAGCCACTGATTCCTGGCTTGCTCTAATCTTGTGTAACCTCGCCGGTCTCTTCTGCTCTGCTCAGATTTAACAGTTGGAGGCTTGTGGCTCCAGTGTGCAGCCTGGTTCTGGCTTTGGACAGACTAACTTCTTTCTATTAATAGAGCTTGTGTTGAAGCTGCCACTACGACTACCAATACACCATCTGGGCGACTGGCAGCGTCTCACAAAAATCCCCGTGTGTGTGTGTGTGTGTGTGTGTGTGTGTGTGTGTGTGTGTGTGTTTCCTTCTGTGTGCACGCCCATGCGTTACCTGTGTGTTTCTGTGTCTGTATTTTGTCGGTGTCTGTAACCGTGTGTGTCCGTGTCTGCGTTTGTTCGCGCGTCTTCTGTCATTTCGCTCCATCCCATCTGTCTGCTTCTGCTCGTTTTGTTTTGTTGTTGTTCACACCGTTCCCACCTTCCTCCTCTTTTCCCTCCCTCCCTTTATTTCATCTCTGTCTCTGTCTTTGCCTCATCGTCTCCCCATCACACTTCACAAGGCAAGAATCACCCAGGCAACTCCTTTCCATCTGCTCTCCTCCTCCTCCTCCTCCTCCTCCTCCTTTCTCTCCCTCCTTACATTCACAATTCAAAGTGCTTTCTTTTCCCTCTGTCTCCTCTGAACAGTCTGCATTTGTTATCTGGATTTTTTTTGTCCACTTTTTAGCTGTATTTATGCTCCGGCGTACAGACTGTTGGGGTTGTTGTTCATCTTTTTTTGTTCAGATTAGGTTCCTCCAAAGGGCAGTGAACTATTCAAACCTGTACTCTTAAAGCTCACTCTTCTTCTGTCGAGCCTCACGTCCACTGACTTTCCACACATATTCTGACAATCCATGCAATTGTTATTATTTTTACCCGTGCTCACAATTTACCATTTCCAGTGGGTTGTTTTCTTGGTGATTTTGAGCAAATTAATTTTAGCGTTAATGTGTTTGCTGCATCTTTTATGTCGTTCCTCTTCTTTGTGTTTTGTTTATAAACCAGGTTTCAGGTTTCATTTTTGGGTTTTTCAAATTTCATTAATTTCAATAAGTGGTGAAAAGTTTCCTCTGCTTAATAGTCATATAATTTTATTCAGTTATATTTATTTTTTCAATCCCTTCTTTTCTGTTAACACACGAAAACTCACGAAAGGTCACTGAAGTTATCAGTGGACTATTCACACTTCTGTCTGAGTCACCTTTACGTAAACTAAAATAGCTTAGAACATTTCTTACACAAGACAGTTCTGACCTGAATGTCATCACTTTTACATAAAGACTGAAACGCCAAATGAAATACAAAGACGGAGATTAAAAGCACGTCTTGTTCATACGAAGGGTCATTGTGTGTTATGCACAATAGAAAAAAATACAATCGCTCTATTCAGCTGCATAAAAACTGCTCAAATGTGGTGTTTTCATGTCGTTTTCCACCATTTGCGCTCCCTTCTTCTGCAGCTGTTTATCTTAACTGACTATTTTATTAAGCATCTGTTGACACGAACGTCACAGATAGAGTTGCAAAATGAAACAGCACCGCAAAATGGAAATGGAGAACCCAATGACTCCGAGGAGACAGTTTATTGAATTTGCAGCAAAAAAGTCGAGGTCAAGGGTGTTAATACCGCCAATCTAAAACTAATAGAGGCATAAAAATGAACAGAAAAACACTGTTAAATCACAGTTATTGTTGACTAAACCTTCTTGGTTGTGGCAGATCTTCTGGCAGCCGTAGCTTTTGTCCACCTTTGTCTGGGATCAAGGAGTCAATATCTCAAAACCTTTAAATAAATTCAATAACGCTGCTTATGTCGACATTGTAAGCTACACATGTGCCATGCAAGAAAGAAAACCTTGACAGACAACAGGAGTTAATTAGATGGAGCTTGGACATAAATTTATTTATGAGATTTGATATGTTTATCCTTTCGCCATCGATCTCTTACAGTTATCCTTCTCTGAACGTACAGTTTCCTTTTTAACTGAACTTTCCGTGGGTGCTTTTCCCACCCCTGCCTCCACTGGACTCCCCTCTTCAGCTGAGCCAAACCAATCGTTGTTAATGAACCTAAAACGCATCACTACCTGTGTCACCACTGACACCAGACCTAAACCTCTGGTACACTGTGAAACACACACAGCTGGAGTCAGCACTGTGCCAACTCGTTTGGCTTGAAGTTAATGGACGTTTATTTATAAGTAAACGTGCACTCCAGCTTCAAATTAATGAGAAAGTGATTTTCTACTGTCAGATGAGAGGCACAGCAACCCTCAGCGCTCGCCCTGGTCGTTAAGTGAGGCTTCAACATATGTTTTAAAGTCCGTCACCGTCGTCGCCTGTGACAAACCGAGGACCCTCCTCTTCCACGATGGCTTTGCCCCAATTCTGCTGCGTGTCGCACACCGGGTGCCAATTATGGTGTGAGCACTGTGGCTCTTTTTGTAAAGATCCTGTCATAACTTAATAAAGCCATAAGGGACACTTGGGTTTGATAAAGCCGGCCGTGTTGGGTACTCCATTTCTGGAAAGTGGTTTAGATAAGGCAGCCTGTTTAAGTTTCAGTTCAGATCTGTTCGTAGTAAGTGCCAGTGTTTTGGAATTGAACCCTTGACATGGATTTACCTCCTTCCTTCCCTTTGATCTTAAACTCTATTGACTGTCAAATCCATTGTTGAAATACCTAATCTAACACTGATATCATTATCCTCCCAGTTCAATACGACCCTCGGTGCTCGCTTCATCACATCCTTCTCTTCCTCCTCCATCCCTGCTTTCTTCTCCTTCGTCCTGCTGCCCTGCAGTGTGTGTGATCTACTCAGGGAGCTTGTTTCGCTCTTTTTTTTTTCCTTCTCACCCTTTATCTCAGCCTCTCTTCTATTGCTCTCTTGGTTCAATTTAATTCACTAGGCTTTACTGACACGGTGGTTTAAGAAACAAAAAAAAAATCACCCACATTGCCAAAGTGTTCTATCACAGTGACAACAATAATGGAAATGCCGACAATGGGAGAGAAATTAGAGTCAAGAGAATTAAAAAGATAGTGAGCAGAAGTAGGTTTCTCCCTCCATCTCTCCCTTCCTACTTTCTTAATCTCCCTTCTTCACTCATTGACGTTTTTCTTCCTGTCTTTCTCGACTTCTTCCTGTCTCTTTTCTGTCTCTGTATGTTTTCCCTCCTCTCCCTCTTTTTCTCTCATCTGCTAAGCTAGCAGGAAAAGTGTTTTCTGAATCTCTTGTGTCAGCACCACTGTCAGACCTACACACCGCTTCCTAACTAAATATTATTCCTCCCTTTTTTTTTCCACCATCAGTTGCCTCCCTTTCTTTTTTCTTTCTGCTCCTCCTCTGTGTTTTGCAGGAACGCTGTACTTTTGCAGCAGTACAGCTCGTGCATCTCCTCTTTTCTGTTTTCCTGCTTTGTATTGTTGCCTTGCTCCTGTCTTCACCTTTCCAGATATTGATTTTAAAGCCTCTAGCAGGGGTTGAATTCACACGTACATATAAAATTATATAAAAAATAAACAGCTTTTTCATGAAGGTACAGCAGCCTTAATTTGTGCTTGCTTTTCCGCTTTCATTTTAGCCGTGTTTTCAGCGCACACACGCACACATACATGCACCGTCACACCTCCAGGTTTCTACCAGCAGAGTAGTGCCGAGCCATTAGCAGAATGAGTGCTGACATGGGAAGTTGTTAACAGAGGCACTTACACACACATGCACACCATCACAGGAAATTACTCTGTCATTTGCACCTACCGGCCATGTGCAAACACAATCAGTTTTCGCACACTCTCACACAGACACACACACACACATATATGTTCAAAACTAATCACTGTTGGAGTCAGAGTGTGTACACGACAGCTACGAACAGATAAATCAATCTTCTAGAACAACTGCTGCAAGCTACTGAGTCAGGGATTATAGGCTCGCTGCTGTATGACAGTTAAAAAAAAAAAAAGAGAGTCTGGGTAGAGCATATCTGCTTTAAACAGGAATCTCTGCCTGTGTAGGTAAATGCCAAAAATAGGTCGGGAAGAATTCAATTAACAGGACGGCTAGCAGTGAGATTGAGGTTCATATTAAGGAGCTACAACTCAGCAGTATTCTCAGATCAAATCTGTCCAGCGCTGCTTCATTAAAATGGTCAAACCATGAGTCGACGCATTTGGAAAGTTGGGAAAATTAGGTTGAAAGTTGAGCCGGCTCTAATTAGATTCAGGATTAAATGTCTTCTCATTGATGCAAAAACTTTGCAACATTTGCTTCTCCTCTCCCTAACTTTGCTCCCCTAAAGCACGAGTTTCCCCTCTTTGTCTTTTTATATTTTTAAAGCCTGACAATCGATGGTTCCTCACACACTCTTAGTTGCTGTTGCCTGTCGAGCTTTCCCCTCTTGCATGATGCAGTTTGCAATGATAAATCGCAGATTTACCATCATTTTTTAAACAGTGGATCCACGATATCAGACAGAGGTGGACGAAAGCACGCTGTTTTGTCTGCTGCTGGCAGATCCTATAAATTCCAGTCAGGTTTATTTATTCAGCACATTTTAATACAGCCTAAGTTGACCAAACGGGTAGCTACACAAAAAAAACAACAACACAGTTTTGCCAAAAATCTACATTGTGCAGTAAGGCAGTCCTACTTATTATTTTCCAGTAAAATAACCATTTTTATGACAGCGTTTACCTCCCTGCGTGCAAATGTGTCACCAAAACAAGTGCTGTATAGCAGGGGCACCATTGCTGCATCCTGGGCTTCACACTGCCCACAATGATTGGATTGGTGTAAGGTGCTTTTTTCCTCTAATATCAGAACAATAACGAGGTGCAGCACCAGGAAACTGGAAGTCTGATTTTCCTAAATCTTATACTGGTCGGAGAGCTTAGCTAGTGTTAGCCACAGTCTAATATGCAGCATTCAGGACTGCTCTCCACACATATTGCACATTAAATATGGTAAAAAGTCAGAGTTTTTAAATGCTACATGTACCCCTCGGCTGATAAAACGTTTGGTAGCTGGTAGACATACATTAAAGCAGACAAACACATGAATAAATGTAGTCCTTGTACTTTCACTGCTAAAAAAAAAAATCAATCTTATTAGTTGAACGTATGGAGAAATCCAAAGCCTGACAGGCCCTCTGTGCCTAGTTACGGTTGCTAAGCTGTAATTGAACAGTCAGTGTTGAGGGAAAGGGTTTAGCGAATGGTCAAGTCTGCCGCCCCCTTAAATGAAAATCGTGTTTGCTCTTGCTTTTCTCTGTCTCTGCCTCTGTGTGTGAGTGTGTGTGTGTTTGGAACTTCCATATGTTAATTTCTCTGTACGTTGTTGTTTCCAGCCTCTCTGATCAAATATGCATAGCTTTTTCCAGCTCATTTACACACGCGAGTTGATTTCTCCTTCAGGTTTTGATGCTCTCGGAGACCTGTTAAAGCCGACAGTTCCCACGCACACCGCGCCTCCTCCTCCTCCTCAAATGGCCATCCATCCTGGAGGAAAGCTGCTAGCCAACGACCTCGACTCCTCTCTGGCTAACCTCGTGGGCAGTGAGTGTCGAGCTGTGAATGTGTCAACAAAGAGAAAAAAAACTCTTGACAAGTTGAAGTATCTGCAGCAGAATTATGCTGGTAGAACAGTTACATAACTTAGCTCGACGCCCGGCCTTGGATCTATGCATATACAAGTTTAAATCATGTCGCTTTTGCAATCACTCATAGTTATTAAGCATATTAATACTCGGACATACACACACCTATCTGCAGACACAATACTAAAGAACCGTTCTTACACTTCTTGTGCTTTTATGTGGCAATATGACACCTTCTTCTTTTCAACAGTTGATAATATCTACTTGGTTAGAATCTGTTCCGTTAGCTTGCAGAATTTTAAGCCTCCTTTCATGAGGAATTTTGATTAAAACTTTAAAAAATGTTACACAGTGGAACAGGAGAAATGAGGAAAACAAAGTCACATCACAGGGAAAAACATTATCTAAAGCTGAAATACCTGCCTGAATGGCTTTCATTCTACTCTTTTAACTGTGATCACTCAGCCTCTGTGTTTCTGCCTCTCCTCAGATCTGCAGTTTGGTGGGACCCCAGCCAAGAAGTAAGTTTCCTGAGTTGTGTTGGTACTTTTCTAAGTTGTGCTCGTAGTCCGAGTTGGAGGATTTATGTAGTGGCAAAATATACACGCCCTCTAGTTGTACTTGTCTCAGGGATCCTGGCAACAGCACAGACAACAGTCAGTGCTAAAGTCAAAATCAAATTTATCATAAAGTGTTTTATGGGATTTATGTACAGAAGTCGGTGACAAAGTATCTGTAGACTGTTAAAGGTGAAAGGCACAGAATCACTGCAGCACTTGCAGGGTTGTTAGTCCTTAAAATTCATCATGCACCTCGTGGGGAATTGAAAAAATACAATCAAGTTTTTAGGAGAAAAAAAAAGAGGAGCAAATGTGATGTTTTTTTCTGCTCCTAGACATCATTTCGGTGTTGTGTGATAAATTTGCTTCAGCTTGAGCAGGTGAAAGTGCTTTGAATGAGAACTGACAGTGAGCCTGTTGTGGTGCTCTGCTTGTCCTCTACAGGCCAGAGATGCAGTGGAGCCAACCGGGAGAGAAGAAGCTGACAGGCGGCCAGAACTGGCAAAATAAGACCATGTCGACTACACAGTGGAACCCTGCGCCCATGGCGCCACAGCCCATGCCTGTACCACATGTGGTAAGAGGCAGAAACACACACAGACACACAAAAATGCACGTTAAAGTGAATTCAGCAACCCGAGAACGTATCCGTCAAGGTGTCTGCAAGTCCTGAAAGTCTTGTACTTTTGTGGGTTTACAGCAATTTCTTATTTATATTCTTTTGGGCATCATTTTTGTTAGTAATCGTAACTTTGGTTCCACAAATTACTTGCTGAAATGTTGGATTGTGGCAACGTTAACAAAATGTCAAACATGGCAAGAAACAGGAGCTGGTTGGGCAGACAGGTTGGAAATAAACGTAGCCAAAAGTTAGCCAAACTTTTTTGGAATAGTAATAATAACTTTCTTTATATAGCGTTTTTCAAACCGAGGGTTTACAGAGTGCTTTGACAGAAAAAGCAGGATACCCAGAAGGCAAACTAACAACTGGAGTTAAGGCCAAACAAAGCACGGCAAGATCAAGGCGAAATTAAATTAAAGTTAAGACGAAGACTCTGACTGTCGATCATCCAGGTCATGGTAACCCAAAGTGCCAAAAAGGTCCAGTTTTCTTCTGCTGAATAAACCAAGAAGACAACAGAAACCAAATGACAAAACACAATATGTCAATAGTAGTAAACACAGTTAAAATAATACGGGCAGTTAAAACTTAATAAGCAATAAAAATCTGAATGAGCAATACAAAGAAGGCATCACATAAAGGCAGGTCTATGAAAGTGATTTTAAAGAAGTCACTGATTCTGCGAGCCTTCTCTCCTCAGGCAGGTTGTTCCAAAGCCGAAGGGCCCCGACGGCAAAAGCACCTTCAGGTTTCAGCCTTCAGAACAGCCAGAAGGGCCCCAGCTGAGGATCTGTGAGCTGGCTCACATGGCTTCGACATTGCTGCTACGTATTGTAGCTTGGGGCCAGACCCGAACTTTAAAAGTCATCAGTACAATCTTCAAATCAATTCTGTGACGAGCAGGAAGCCGACTGAGAGAAGGCCGGATTAGAGCGATGCGATGTCGTCTGCTAGAACCAGGGAGAGCAGAACCGAGCGGAGACAAGAAGGAAAAATGGGGAAATTCTAAACCTGACAGTCAGATTTTAACGTGACAGTCTGGCTTCTTGGTTTAACTTCACACTCATGGCATCAGTGAAAGGTTTTCCTCTGCAGTGAGGGATTAATCACTGGCATTTTTAGCTAAGTCCACTTTTGATTCCTGTGTCCTGGATAATCTTCCTAATCTGTGTTTACAGCCTGTCTGATCGTGTAGCGGCTTAATGTTTCTTCTCCCACCTGACCTGTTGCGATGTTGCCGACACCAAAATTTCAGAAACGATGGCCAAAACCGAGCCTCAGTAAACCAGTTATTCTTTTTAGAGATTTCATAAAGTTTTCTGTAAGTCCTCAAAAGATCTTACAGAAAGTTTCTCATGGTCAGAAGTCTTTAATGTTCCTCCAAAGTTAAACTCAGCGTTAGAGGTGTTTGATATATTCTGGCTTCTAATATTAAAGCCGCAGCTTGACATTTTGGGGAAAGGTGCTTATTTGCTTTTGTGCTGAGGGGTAGATGAGAAGATAAATAAGTCTCTCATACCTGTCTGAAAAATAAGGCTCCCGCTCACACAGTTGGTTGGTTCAGTTTAGCGCAGTGACAGGAAACGGGGGAAGCAGCGAGACTCCTCACAGGCAGCAGCATCCACCCAGCAGCAGTTCCCTTATTAGCAATTTGTGCTGTATCTTATTTATGTAATCTGCTGGGAAAAATGAAGTAAAAAAAACACAATCATTTTGCTGTTTTATGCAGAGTTATGTGCTGGACTATTTCTGGGCTGGCAGCCAGCAGCCGGGTAGCTTAGCATAAAGACTTGAAACGGGGGAAACGACGAGCAGGGCTCCGTCCAACAGCAACACAAGCCGCCGATGCGTCTTCTCTGTGCCCCTCTGCCAGAAAGCAAACTTCCCGAAATGCCCTTTTCTGCCAATTTTAGACGCAAAATCACTTAAAATATTTACTTTGGACTTTCGTAATCCCGCAGTGTTACATTCAGCCGACTGAAGCTTGCAAACACCTTGGCAGGACATGACACGGAGCTGAAATAGTTGCAGTTCACACGGCGAATGCTCCACCTGTCTGCGCATGCCGGCGTTGAGTTTTAGACGGAAGTGTTGTCGTATGTGAGCATTTTAAGTTGGTAGAGAATACAGCCGCCTGTGCATGCAGTGTGTGTGTGTGTGTGTGTGTGAGTGTGTGTGTGTGTGTGGTTGTGTGTGTGTTTGCTGATCTTGGCAGCTCCTGATTGTCCTCCTGATCTCTGGGCTGCAATTTCTGGCTGACGAGGACAAACTGTCACTAACCCTCCTTCCTCTGTTTCTCTTATTTTCTTCTCCTGTTGATGCTTTCTTTTCTCTCTCTCTCTCGTTCTTTCTTTCTTTCTCTCCGTCCTTCTTTTTCTTTCTTTCCTCCCTCCCTCCCTCGCTGTCCTCTTCACCCCTGCTGTCCTTCCCTCTAATCTCCCCTTCCTCTCCCACTCGTCCCTCCTTCCGCCCGTTTTGCACCGTCATCCACTCGTCTTCCTTCCCTCCTTCGCCCGTGTTCTGTTTTATTGCGACTCTTGTTTTGCGTTGTCATCTGCTCGTCCTGTTTTTCGCCACGCTGCCTTTGACATCTGCACGTCGGCACCGTGACCCCTCGTTCTTTCTGGGTTTGTTTCCTTCTATTTATTGCCTTTGCTTACGCTGTGGTTCTAACCTTTCTTTCACTTTGTTGTTTCCACTCTCTTTCTTCTTCTGTCTTCCTTTTTCTTACCAATCTCTCACCGTCATCCTCTCCTCATTTCTTTTCATTACAACTGTCTCTTACCTTGTCTTTGCCACTACCTCGTCACACCTGTTTGCTTCCCTCTTTCATCATCTCCTTCTCATTTTCTTCCATTCTGTCTTTCACTTCGACTCTCATCGTCTGTCTCTTTGTCTCTTCTTCTTCTTCTTCTCCGTCTCCCTCCCTCCTCTCTGTCTTTCTCTGTCTTTTGTCCTTTTTCCCTGTTGCGTCCTGATGCAGAATGGAATGTTCTATACTAGTTATGTAAGTACTTATCTCTGTTTAGTAAGACAAGTCTTAACGAGGTGCTCAGAGACGTCTGTTCTGGGCCTCTAACCTCGCCCTCGCTATCCTCCTCTTCATCTTACTCTCTGTCACCTCTTCTTTCTCTTGCGCTCCTCTGAGACACTTGTTTAAAACTCTGTTCTTGCCCAATTTCCACAAATAACCTTCTCACCTCTGCGCTACAAGCTAATACTCTGCGCTAGTTATGTAAGCACTAAGCAAATTGACTGGTACCAGGAAGTTGGAACAAGGTGCTGCCGTTTCCATCTCACACCTGAACAGACTGAATTGATCTCAGGGTCTGTTTTAAAGATGTCTGTGGAGATTCCTGGTAATCCTGAAGGCTTCAGCAGAAGGCAACTGGACTTGTCTTAATTGTTCTTCGTGCAAGAACCAAAAAACGTTGGATTTCTGTGGTGCAGACGAGCAAGAATCTGGTTTACAACATTTGTTTTTTATCTGTTTTTAAATAAAGGAACTGTAGTCAAAGCTGTAATTGAACCATAAAATCATAATGTAGGATGCATTCTCCTACTGATTTTGTTGCTTTTGTTGTATATGTTATATATTTTTATGTTGAACCCTATTTTTCCATTTCATTATTGACAAACCAAACTGAGACGTCCAGTTACCTTTTACTGAAGCCCTTCAGCGCCTACTTTACTTGTTGATCGAACTTGTTTTAAGGCAGTCCAAACCATTTGCTTGTTTTCCAACCGCAAGAAACGTAGAACCTCTTTCGTGACAGTTTTCGGGGAGAAATCAGTTCCGACTGCCGGATAAAAACTTCTAAACAGCCCTATAAAAAATCTGCTGTGTGGGTCTCAGCTCTGATTTATTAAACTCCAGGAGGACATCAGCATCGTTTTTTCTGCCCTCTTGATGTCCTCGTCGAATAGCAGCCTTCGCTCTAACATCGTTTTCTTCAAATTCACCACATGGGCCAACGTAACAAAGCCCCCTTTTCCTTCGCGTCCACAAAACTGAAATTACCTCCGTGTCGGTGTACCCTGAGTTAACGTCGTGGTCGTCTGAGCTTACGCCACAGTGGGAACAGAAAGGCCCGATTACGCGACTTTTCCCGTGAATGTTAGCGCCACCTCACACCTACCTCGAGCTCCTGCGGTGGAAAGCAGCCTTTTGTCATCAAATCCAACGGAACAAAAACCAACCACGAATTGATCCTCCTAAGAAGTATTCCCTGTACATCCAGAGCCTGTTATATCTCCTTCCTCTGCGCCACGGAGCTCCATTGTTGTCCAAAATCTATTAAAAACATCAAAGAAGCACACTCTTGCACCTTATTACAACAAACATGGGCCCAGCAGTTTATTTTGAGTCACACACTGTGACTCAGAAACGCTGTAAATACTCAGCAGAGCACCAAAGCTGCAGCTGAAATGAGTCCCCGACGAATCCACTATTTCCTCCTGTTTGAGTAACATTTGCTAAAAAGCTGTTTATGAAATTACTGAGGCTTTTTGTTGCCTTTTTTTTTATAATGAAACAATACATTTGCGGCTCATTTTTTTAGTAAGAAGAGATAAATACTTGTGAAAGTAATGCTAAATCAACTAATTCTTGGCTGCATTATTTCACCTTTGACTCTCACTGACAAGCAAGCAGGAACAGAAATTGCCTGTGGGGGATTAATTCAGCAGCACAATAAAAATGTGACAGTTGTTCCCTCAGCAAACTAAAATGTCTTATTTCCTCCTATATGGTACAAGACAAAAATCCCTGCGTGGTGCAGTCAGCAGCGACCAGGATCCCGCCTTCAATGTACATTTAAGCAAACACGGGAAAAATGCAGCAGCTTTGACCGTGAACAAATAAAGCTTAGAGCGGGAAAATATTAATAGAACTGCTCGTTACTGTCCCTGAGAGGTGTATTGTCTCTGACTAGTGTGAATATACGTGGCTCCAAACATAGGAGCATAACATAATAAATAAGTCATGGCAGCGAGTGGAAGGAATATATAAGACATCACAGGTAACAGCAGCGAATAAGTAGGCTGTCACGCGTCATGCATGATAAGTGAAACTCCCACATCGGAGATTTTCGCCACAAGGGCAGCGATGCATCCGTCTCAGCTGGCTTGATAATGGAAATGCCAGCCAGACAGCCAGCGCGCTTCTTTGACCTTCACTTAACCTTGCGGGGCGTTTAAGGTCACAAGTCTGAGAAAATCCAGAAACAAGAACGTCGCCTTTGCCGAGGAGACGGCAAAGGGAATAGCAAAAGTTCAGCTCTGAACCCCAAAACTGGGGATGAAAGGAGTCGAGAAAAGAGATTTTTCTTTTTTCTTTTAAAAAAAAATGAATACACAGAGCGGTAGGAGGCACACTGGAGGCAGGAAGAAGGATAGAACCAGCAGGTGAGAGGTTGAGCATAAAGAGGCAGGTGCAGACTGATAAATGTAAAACACGATGCATCGAGGGTCGACAGCGGGGGGGAAAGACGGATGGGCAAAAGTACTGGTGGAGGATCTGTGGTGGCGCATAAACAGTGTCGTACCTTTTTCTCTGTGACATCTAAAGGAAATAAAATGATTCCCACTGTCGTCTTGCACAAGGAGGCGCGAAGACAGACAGACCAGAGCAACTCAAAGACAGATGGCTCGCTAATTAATGAGCGGCTAAGGTGCAGATGACGGCAAAGTCAATTAAATCTTGAATCAGTGTTTCTAATACCGAAACCACTGGTGGATCACCGAGCGGGGCAATAAACATATTTGACAGATAAATTTGAGTCTTTTGGATGAATTGGGTTCTTTTCTGGCAGCTGACAGATCAGTTTGATCAATGTTCATGAGCAGCTGTCACAGTTCGCTCTGCAGAGGCCAGAATTAAAAAGCAGATCCTGGTCAGTCACATTAATTACCTCCAGAGACCAGTTCACAGGTTTGGCTGACCCGACCCGAAACCCTTTTCCTTTAGATTCCTTAACACAGAACGCTCGTCTTCCCTTTTAAAGTGCCTTTGAAGCGTGGATGTTACAGTATTTTAAATTGCTTTGGCTCAGTTTTCACAACAGAGTTTGAGAATGCCCTCAAAAAACCTCACGCATAACCATCAGATGAGGTAATAAAGTGGTCTCATCAAAACAGCCCGTAGTGCTCATTTCATCAAGATTATGCGAGAAGGAAATGTGCAATTTAACCCGCAGAAGTCGGTGCTTGAAAGGACGCCGAGTAAGAATAACTTTAATTTCAGGCAAAGATGCCGTGTGAGGCGAATTTGCAATTTAAATAAAATAGACCTACATCTTCCCTGAATCACAATTCAGTCAAGTCTGAACACGCAGACATGACACATGGGTTTTTAGATTCCAGGTGTTTATTTCTGATGTCTGTCGTGAACAAAACAAATTGATATGTCAGCCTGTGTCATATGTTTCCTCCAGGGGTAGTTTTCTGTACATCTGTTGGTACATTTCATGCCAAAATATTGAAAAAAAAACCTGCTAGTAGTGACTTAGCAAATGTGTTAAAGTCAGGAGATGTGCTTTCAAACACATGAGGTGTATTTTCATCAGTGTGACTTTGTTTAAAACATTGATTACGTTGCATGAGCAGCGATTAAAAGATAACGCTCGCGTACTTTTGCACATAAAAACAGAAAGCTACAAGTGCACTGCTATGATTAGCGTGTCCATCGCTTTACGTGAGACTGCTAAGATAATAAATGACTTAACGTTGCAGCTAATTGCAGCATTTAATGTTAATATTGTGCTGTTTTTATTTGTCTCGCTGCAACATCCAGCTGGAGACATTCAGCTCCGGCAGCAGCTTTAACACGAACCGAGTGATGGAGGCTTCATAAAGTCATGTTATAAATGCCACAGTTGTCTCATTTACAGTGATGGATTAGGTCTGCGAAGCCAACGGTGTGTTTCTGCAAGCTGTTTTTAATGGATTTTCTGAAAACAGTGGGACTTCCGGGTGAGGGGTCTGACCCGCAGCAGAGCAAACAGTCGCAACTTCTGACTGCAGCAAATACTGCGCAATTAAATGTGGCATGGGGGGGGGAGAGAAGTCACACTGCTGTTATCCCGTAACATCTGCAAACGCTAGCAGGTATTCAAACCCCACCGAGCGTTTCAGATCCGTGTTTATAATGATGTCAGAGCGGCTGCCTCTGGTATATTTACTATATAACCCTAGAAACTGTGAAATGACTGCAGGCCACAGAGAACTCATCCCACATCTGTTCATATTCATACATGTGTATGGCTTATAGATTGGCCACTGTTGTGCAGAAGATGCCTGTCTCATCTTGTAAGCTGATTTTCCTCCAGGACAGACACTGAAGCTGTAATGTAGCACTGGCTGCCATAAATTACCCATTTGTCGAGCGTAAATCTGCGGCTTCGATGCAGATACGCACGGGTTGCGAACGACGGCTACAAATGGCCCGTCACGTTGGATTTGAAACCACTTCAGCTGCAGTGGATTTGATTTGGGAAGTAAGCAGGGCAGGGCCAAACGCTGCCCTATCGAGCCGGCCCTTTTAAAGCAGTGGTAATGATTGCTCCCAGCGGGAATCCACTAAGTACCTCTGCTACATGCCACGTTGTAGTGCTCCTAATGTGCACACACTTGAACATTAACAGTATTTATTGTGTGTAAACGGGTCTAAAGACAGTAAAATGGAGTATTTTGTGCACTCGTTCAAATATTTTATGCCGTTTTATGGCTGATAAAAGCCATAAAATGTCTAACTCTGGTGTTTTGTTGTTGTTGTTGTTATTTTGCACGTCACCTGTGAGTTGACTCCTGTTTTCTGTTTTGCCTCCAGGCTCCAGCTCCCATGGCTTTCCCAATGACCACACCGCAAGTGCCTGTGTATGGAATGGTGAGCATGCAGATACACCAACTATTTATATGCAGAGAGAATAAAAGTGTTTTGTCAAATCAAGAGTCAGTTTAAAGACGATTAGATGAATGATTTTTAGCGCACGACAGACAGCAGACGTACTGCTCACTAACCCGTCACCAGACAGTTTCACCTCTGTCTCTGCTCACCTTTCTGTTACAGTTTTCCTGCTTTGTTTCTGGCTTTCATGTCTTTTTGCTGTTTGTGCGTCTCTCTGATTATCTCTGATGTCGATAAATAAATAAAGATGAATAACCCTTTTTAGAAATTATAGAAAAAGAACATCTGTCAGCACACTGAACTCCAAAACCCTCCACTGGGTTTGAAATGCTCGCTAGCTTTAAACTTTTTATACTAAAGTTATGCTATTTATCACAGCCGGAAACGAACGTTAAGTTTAAACTGTCCTCAAACACATCATTTGAGACAAAAGAAAAAAATGTTTTTATTGAAATCACTTAATTCTACATGTCACTTTTAAAAAACATTTGCGATAACCAGATTCTGTAAAAAACAAAAAATTCTGGACTTTTTGGTGCAACTGAGAAGCCACCAGTGAGTTAGCTGCAACCAAAAGTCATGAAAGAAAAATTTAAAAAGAGTTTTTGGCTGAACTGCAGGCTGTGTTTACACAGAGCAGATTGGAGACGAGTATGGAAAGAAATTAAAAACGTAAGCAGTAGGATCTGTATAGGTTCTAGGCCACCATTCCTAGTGTTTGTGACACCTGTGAGCACCTGTGGGAATGTTGCACAGCTTGATCTGAGGCTTTATCAAATGAACAATCAAAGAAATCCAACTTTTTTTCATGATTTATGGCATTAAAACTTACTGTGCAGAAGATGGTTGTGCTGTTTCTATAGAGGTGCAGAGAAAAATGAGGCCACAGTGAGGAAAGATCTTCAGGTTCACAGGGTTCACTCATATTTCATTCTGTTTTAATTCCTGCTCTGTTTTTATAACCGTCTCTCTCTCTGTGTGTGCTGCCTTTCTGCAGGTACCTCCCCAGATGGGTCAGATGGGTGGGGTACCTGTGATGGCTCCTCAGCCAATGATGTACAACCAGCCTGTTCTCAGACCCACTAACCCCTTCGCACCCATGCCCGGAGCCCAGGTAGCCCACTCACAGACACACTGTCGTCATGGATTTCTACTCACTGAATAGTTCAGTACTTTCACTACTGGTTAATTAGCTCATAGTATAAAAACACATCTCTCCACAAGGTTGAAAAAAAAATCTAATGTTCCCCAGTAATGTAATTAACTTTCATTTGCACAGTTGAAAATGTATGAATCTGAGTCACCTCAAGGTTCATTTTCTTGTGAATTGTCATCGTCATTATTTAATCGTCAGCTACAAATGTGACATTTTTCATGAATGCATAATGAACTACTCACGAGATGACATCAGGTGTTTCTGTTTTTTAATAATTAAATGTTATCAAGTATAAGGTGTAGTGTACGGTTATAGTAGTGTGCATCCGTGTGTGAGTATTTTAAGTAAAGTTGGGCATGAATGAGACGTTAAAATTTTATAAAAACATCACCTCCTTTATTGGTCATTTTATTGAGATGTTTTTTTTAAAGATGCTGTAACATTAGAGCTGCTGCTAAAGAGTGTTTTTCTATCAGTTCATCTGTTGATTATTTTACAGATGAGTTGGATAAAGTAAACTAGGGTTATTTTCATAGCTGATTATTCTGTTCTGCAGTTTATTTTATATTGATTATTAGTTGTTTGGTCTCTAAAATGACAGAAAATGTGGACAAATTTGATCTATTCACTCCACAATCCAAAGATTTTCAGTTTTCTGTCAGAAGATGTTAAAACTTAAAACCTGAAATGAGAGAAATTGAACTTTTTTTTGCTAAAAATAAAAACTCCAATCGATTATCAGATTTATTTCAGATTAATTTTATAAAGTTGACAACTACTCAGTTTATTGTTACAGCTCTAAACATTTAGAAACCTTATTGAACATTTGCTCGGCGAGTTCCCTTTTATATGCGAGTTTTTCACTTGATGAGTGCATTCAGCCGCTACAAGGCCGAAATATAAAAATAAAAAGCTCTCTCTGCTAATGAACAGACATCTCTTACGGGGGGTTTTGTCTTTTCAGTGCGTTTTCTCCTGAGCTGCTCATGGTCAATCAGAGCGGCGTACAAACAACTTTTTTGTTCTGTGGCGATTTAAAGTTCTCACGTACTTCTGAAGTCTCTGGTCTTTAGAAACTTTCAAACTGAACGCCGTCTAATTCTGGCGCTGTTTGCTACAACTGCAGCCGACCAAGAACAACTGATGCCAATGATGCAGCAATTAGACGAAAAACCTCCCTTACAATGAATTTAAGCCATTTAGAAAACAATTAAAACACACAGGTCATTTTAAAATCTTCATGTTGATGCATTTTCATCAGTTGATGCCAACTAATTGCAGCTCCATGCCAGTTAAACATTAGCAGGTCAGGAGTCATTTCCCAGACATATTTCCCAACCTTAATGGTCTGCTTGTGACCAATCACCACTAACGATCAGGTTAAAACAATGCAGGATGCTCACACACATGCGTCTTTATATATTTTCTGTTTGACTGCATTAAAAAAAAGTTAATTTCAAACTAAAAAAGCGACAAGGTTGACTGGAAACAAAGCTAATAATACAGCTATAAATAGCATGTTGTAGGTAGAGAAGTCATCTCTATAGCAACAAATGCATAAAACAGGCAAGTGTATTCAATAATTCAAAACAAATATGTTTTGTGTAGCATAAATGCTGTTTTTCCAATTCCCCATCCCATTAAATGCCTCGTCTTTATCTTCCCACCGCGGCGACCTTTTCCATCATCCCGTTCCAGCACGTGTAGATCCCCGTTGAGAAAGTCTTTGCTGCCGTGTGAACGCGGTGTCAAGGTGGTTTTCCGCTGATCAAAACAAGCAGCTCCTCTTATCTGTTTCACTCTCTCTCTGTCTGTTCAGATGCAATTTATGTAATCCAGTCAGGGGGGAAGCAGAGTGCCAAAAGCGACAAACAAACTAACAGCAGAAGAAAACACACAAGAGGACGATCAGATGGACGGAGGAGTGATTTGATGGAGCTAAAACGACTTAAGAGGCAGACAGACGACAAGATAACCGACCGACACCAAAACTCAAGTTGGACAGAGGAGGAGAAGATGAGGAAACGGAGGGATGGAGGGATGGAGGGAGGGAGGCGGTGGGGGAGATGTCATCGCGGCCGGTCGTTGTCTGAAACAACTCCTTGCATGTGTGTGTGTGCGCGAGCGTAGCTTCTCTCTGTTCATTTGTGTTTTAAAATCTTACCGATGGAGTGACGCTTCAGGAGAGGGACTACGGATGAGAGAGAAAGATGGGGGAGAAGGGAGGAGAGGAGAGGGGATTGAGGAAATCCTACCTCTGGTTTTCAGTCAGGATGTACATATCTGACTGCTCTGAGAGTCTCTGCTGCAGAATTAGCTTTATTTCATACTGGTGCTATTCTGTCCTCTCTGGGTTACTGTCCGCCTGCAACGGCAACTTGGGAGCACTTACGAGAGGACAAGTGTGTGTTCATTGTGTGCGTGCAGACAAACGTTTGTGTGCGCTCAGCAGTTGTTTCAGACAACACCCGCACGGCCGACCTCCCGTCCATCCCGCCCTCGATCGCTGTCTGTGTCCACAACTGTCCATTCGGCGAGACGTTTAGAGGCAAATCTACTCAAGTGTGTTTCCTGTAATTTTCCGCTCTGTTGGGATACCTTTGTATTTTTCAGTCTGTTTCCTTCGCCAACCTTTCCTGAATGTTATCGGGGCTTGTACAGCAATTTATTGAAGCATTTGTTAATAGTAGTCGAGCATTTGTTGTTATGGGTTTTAAGCTGAAGACTTGGTTACTCATACTGCATTTCCTTTCCCCCTCCTGAAGCGACAGATGCACACAGAGAGACAGCAGCAGCAGCAGCAGCACGGCCCAGAAAGAACAAGTCCTTCAGAAAGATTTGTCTTAAGGCCTCGTCACACCAACACGATGCAGCAAAATGAATCCAGAAATATTTGGTGCTCGATACTTGGTGAGCTAGCACTCTAGCTAGCCAGAAACATGCTGGTGTTGTTCTCCTATTTCCTGTATTTGTTTGTTTACCTTCCCCAGGCAATTTGTTATGGGGATTGTACTTCAATTAATTCAATTAATAGTCATTAAAGAGAGTGAAAGGAGCTCTTTATCCCTCTGAACCCCAAAAGTCACCAAAAGGTTTGAAAGGCATGCATTCAAAAAGCCAAATTGTACCTGTTCATTAGAGCTAGAAACTGTAACAACAAAAACAATCCTTGAGTTTTCAGACAGTCCTTGAACTATTCACCTGTGACGTGCCGTACCATCGTAACCAAACCTAAGCAAGAAATTGTGATTTTAAAGCGAAATCACTTTATCTTTGTCTCATTTATTAATTGGACAAAATAAACCGTCTGCTCGAACCAGATTCTGCAAAAGTTTTTAAAAAAAATTCTACGCTTCTGACCGCAACATGACAAAAATTCAGGAAATTTTGTGCTGAAGTGCAGAAAGGAGACAAGTATGGAAGCAAAAACTGAAGTTGTAAAATATCCACAGCATGCAAAGATGTGTATTGGTAACGCAATTCTTCTTATTTTTCCTGAGTTATGGTTTAACTGCATCGTCAGTGTTTGGTCAACAGCAACATTTTCAAAGTTGTTAAAGTCTGTTAAAGTCGACTTGAAAGATTTGGTTTTCCTCAGTGGATGTTTCTCACTGTGGCTGTTGTAAATGTTGGTGTGATGAGGCCTTAAACCAGGCACGCTGTCCTCCGTGACATGTTTTGGCTGCCATCTGCGTTAGAAAATGGAAAGAAATGTGTGTCTGTTTTTCTTGGGCCCTTCACAGTGTTTATTAGCACCATTAGCCCGTTCGCTGGCTGACAGCAGCTGGACGACCTGTGTGTATCTGTGTTTCTGTCTTCATTAGCTCACCGACCGAATCCAGACTTTAAAGGTTTCTAGAAATGAGAGCTTTTTCATTAGGTGCCACCTCTTGGCAGATCCACATTATGTGCCAGTGATTGATGACAGCAGCACTGAGTGAGTGAGTTAAATGTTACTGAATCAAGTTGAATTCACTTTAAATTGCACTGAATCAAAGTGAGCGGCTGTAAGCGCGACTCCTGTCTGCGCAGAGAGCCAAACGACACTGTACCGGTGGCATCGTCCTCGCTCCGTGGCTCCAAGAAGCTTTGGGGATCATATCCGACTCACGCAAGAGGTCACGGCCATTCCTCAGCCAAAGCTCCCGTCCCCATGAGTCCGACTGTTGGTCTATTTGTGCGTAACGCATCCTAGTGTGTGTCCACATGTACGCTTACACTCTCACGTGTATGTTTGTTCCATTGAGGGCTATTTCTGAGGGTCAAATTTTAAGTCAACCTCGAGCCGACAGGTTTGACGCGAAATGTGCTTGATTTGTTTTTATAAAAATCAAATTTTGTTGCGAAAATGCACATGCAGAAATGTTGCACTTACGTGGCTATCCCGCCGCTGGAGAGCCGTCGCCAGATTTTCCGGCGCGAAAAAGCTGAGAAAGAGATTTGAAGTTTGTAGAGGTAGTTTTGGGTTTTACAAGTTTGTTTATCCTACCAGCCACTTTGGCGGGTGACTAAAAGTTACTTTCCTGCCATTGTAACGATGAACTTGAAACTTTTTGTAGTCCCGTCCCCGGTCCCGGTCCAGCATCCACGTCCCAGACATCCGTGGTAGTCAAGCATCCGACTCATCGTCCACTCTGCTGTGAAATCTCTAGAATCTCGCTTCAGTCTCTCTAGTCTAGTCGGTCTATCTCTAGAATGCTTTTTTAGCCTGTTTCGTCACCGTATGTGTAGATATGTAAAAAAAAAACAATAGCTATAATAACCAGTTTCTGTCTAGATCGTCTTTGCCCATTCATCACCGTCGCTGTTGGATAGATACTGCTCTTAGAAGCTTCTCGTCGCAGTCTTGTGTTAGCTTAGCCTCTCTTCATAGTATCCCCCTGAAACCCGTGGAGGATCTCCCGCAGTAGGTCCGACCACCTCGTCCTCTCCTCTGCCGGTGTCTAGACTCTATAGCTCTATTATCTCTCTTGGTGTCTCTGTCTTTTAGCTGTAGATGAAACCTCTCAGAGGCTCTCAGGCTTTGTGGTTCGCTTTTCTCGAGCTTTCGGCGCGCTCTTTCTTCTCGCTGTCGACATCGCTCCAGTGTTTGGTAGTTACGGTCTTTTTTCCTGCCTCGACGACGTCCATCCATCCGACCATCCACCTCAGCCTCTCGTTACGATGTCAGCAGCCTACAAACCGTCTCTGATTGGACCCAGACAGCGAATCGCGTGCTCGGACGTCCAGGTGTTTTGTGACGAACGGAAGAGACACACGGTGCTTTTCTAGAACAAGTAGTCCAAGCAGTTTTGGAAATGAGCTTTAGTTCCGTACTAGTAGATTTCAGCTGCAGCTGGAAGGTTTGACAGTCAACCAGCTCTTGTTCAGGGCTACTTATAAAATTTTTTGAGTAGGAAATTTGTGGAAAGTAGCAAATGAATCCACGAATCATTGGGACAGTTGAACCAAAGTTCAGTCCCACACCCTTTTAGACTTTCATTACGCTTTTGTGGAAATCCATGGAAACTTTGTTTTTGCAAACCTGCGCAGAGAAAGATGTCAGTGGTGGTGGCACACACCTCCCAAACCCCGACAACGGAGTCCTGCCACGAGTCATCTTCTGGCAGAGCACAGGAAACCAAAAGCCCCTCCGAGGCACCTAAAACTGTCGCCCCCTTTGTCCCGTCCATTTGAATCCAAACTCTTTCTTACTCGGATGTCCTGGTTTGTTACAACTGATTTCTGAGTCGCGACTTTGTCAGCATTTTCTTTCCGTTGTGGTTTTCTGACTGTGACACTGCTTCCTGCTGGACTCGTCCATTACAGCGTCCGTCCGTCCAGGTATAAAAGAAACACGAGCGCCCTCGTTTGCCCGCTTGCAGGTCCGAGAAACTTACGATTTAAGAAGGAAATTCGTAGTTTATCTTTAGTTGTCGTTTCACGCCAGACACCACTGAACAGAAATCAGATTTCTGGTGTTTTTCTGGATCAACGTGAACTTCCTGCGACACCCCCAGCGTCCCGAACACGGACTCTGTGGAGCGCCTCCATCCTCTCCAGGGTACCTTTGCATCGAGTTCCAACTTGGACACTCATAAAACTATTTTCTTAATGGATGCTTCCACTTTGGCACCAAAATGAGATCTAATCAAGTTTATTTTTTTCGTTCTGAGACAGCTGTCTTACTGTCTGTAATCTTGTGTGATAAATTGGCACTTCAGAAAGAGGAGTCGCTGCCGTGGCGCCGATCCAGAATCAGGTCATCACAGCTCCTGGATCTTTAAGTAATCAATCACATCAGGTCTGACTGCAGCTCTGATGATTCCCGATGTTTGTAATAACCTCGTTGGGAAACTAATTTGGCTGGCTTTGGTTCTGAACGACGGCAAACTGAGTGCCACAATGTTTATTTAGCTTCAAGAATCGGTAACTTTTTTTCAGTGAACACAGCTTTTTCCTTTAACGCTACACGTTGTGTTCTCCTTGTTCAGTTATTAGCTTTTCTTTTGCGTTTCTTCTTCAGATTTTTTGAAACTTCACATTTCTCTGCATGGAATCCAGTCCTGCCTGTTGCGATGAGGTTTTCTCCGTCTGTGCGTCTCAAGTGGTTTCAAAATGTTCAGATTTCGGGGGCTAGATTGAGCGTAGAAAAGGAGACGACTGTGGATTCTCGGTCTCTTAAACGTTCCTGGCTCGTCTCCTCGTCTCCTTAGCGTCGATGTAACTGCCAGTAATTATTACAGCTTTATCACGTAGGTAACTTTGTTATTCAGGGAGGGGTTTGGCCGAGCATGCGGGCTCTTTTTCGGCACTTCCCTTCCTTTAAATTCAGTCTTTTCTCACATTTACAGCTGGGAGTTTCCCCAGCACAACCACTGTTCTCTGGTCCATTTGGGATCAGTCCAGGCAGCCCGGTGGCTACGTTACAGAGTTTCTCTCGACTTTCAAAGCTGCTACCGCCTCTCTGCATTGTTGTAGCATGAATCTAGGTGGAGAAGGATACACAAATAAACCTTGATGTCATATTAAAATGTCTGTTCTCCGCTAAGGCCAAGCGTGTCAGACGTTCAGAGAGCGGACTCTTGTGTGGCGAGCCATCTCTCTCTCTTTCCGGGGTCAGCGAGTGCATGGTTGTATCGTTGTCAATGTTTGTTGTCCTTTTTCCAAAAAGCATGATATGACAGTGATGGTGATGATGATGATAAATTCTCTCCTCTTGTTGTCCCCGTTTTAAACCGCGTCGTCCGTCAGGCGCCCCGACAAGCCGAAGGGACAGACGGATCACACTTGACCAATCGTTTGCCGTCCACGACAGCGGGTCCATCACTCGCGTGGACCGACTCTGACAGATGTTTGCTCTGTCCATAAACGAGCCACTGTAGCAAAAACGGAGCGCCAAACTTTTTGTTTTACTTCTCCCAAAGATCTCACATTTGTTGCTTGCAGCACATGTCCTCGGCGGCAGATTTGTCCACTGCTGTGGCGCCATCTGCGGGCGGCTGCGCGCGTCGCAGCCCGGGCCCGCAAACTGAAATGACAGAAACAAAGAGAGAGGCTGTTTAACAGATAAATTTCCTCATTTTGTCAGTGAGTTGGTGTTGAATCAAAGATCTCTTGTGCACGTTCTGTTTTTTCTACATCTGTGTTTTTTGGTAAGAACCCTCGGATTGCTGCCTCACTATACTGTATATAGAGAATTACAAACATTCACACTCACGACACAGAGCTTAAAGACATAACCTGCAACTGCATTATTTTCCTTTACTCTTTATTTTTCTGAACACGGAAGATATTAGCGTTATTACAGCAGTATATTACGATTCCTACTCGGTGGGGGCGGGCTAAACAGACAGACGATGCAGATTTCGAGGGCTGCAGACCTCCCCGTACATCAGGATCAGCCATGAATTCTCAATGATGCCAAATGTTTTCGGAGCAGACTACACCTTTTAATCTGTCTCTCTCTCTCTTCTGTCTCCTCCCCCCCATCTCTTTGTACATTTTTTCTATTTATTTAAAGCAGAAATATATGGATTGTATCAAGCATGGAAAGGCAAACAAATGTTACAGTTGACAAAAAAAAAAAAATCACAGGCTTTTATTTTACAGCAGTATATTTGTTTATTCTAGGGATTTGTTTTCTCTCTCTCTCTCTTTTTTTTTTTGTTTTTGGAAGAAATAAAAAGTCATTTTCCATTCCTAAACAACCGCCTGCCTTTGAGTTTTCTTGACAATTGCCGAAGGAGCTGCTCAAACTGCCAGCAAGTCTGCAAACCCTTAAAATATTCTTTAAAGTCTCACATGATAAAAATTCAAGGTCTTGAAATGTCAAACAGCGTAGCTTCTGATTTT